AATTAGACTAAACTCTTTCAATCAATGTTTAAATTTTTATATTGTCCTTTATTCTTTCGTTTTTGTTTCTGTACTAATTTTCGTGTCAGATACAATAATTTAGTTTTTAAGTAAATTTTCATTTTCGTAGCTATACACAAACATGCCTACCTGTTGCATTAAAAATTGCATTAATAATAGAAATGAGAAAATTTCTGATGCATCTTTTCACAGGTTTATTTTCAAATTAACTTCATACTAAAATAAATGTAACAATATCCCTATACTCGTTGAATAGAACTATTTTGTTTTACAATTACATATATTTTATTTTATAGACTATTATAATTTATAATGCTATCATGGATTACCATTTTATTATTAAAAGCAATACTTAAGAAATGCACAAGTTTCTGTAACAGTTTATAAAATTTCAGATTTCCTCAAAATGTAAAAATGCAAAACGATTGGATTAAGTGCATCAGACAGGAAATAAATGATTTCAAATGGCTTCCATCAAAAAATGCAAGAATATGCAGTGACCATTTCTGTAACAAAGATTATAAGGGTTATGATGGAGAAAGGAAGGTAATGCTGAAGAAAGCATTCCCATGTTTTCAAGCTAGTTATATTTATATGTCATCAGTTACACAAGGAAGCAATTCACATCATCATTGTACATTGCAACATTCTTATCTATACAAAAAATATAAAATGCATTCAACAATATTCCATGTATTTTATTAAAACTTAGAAAGGGCATAATGACATTGTGAATAATAAACCCTGCTTAGGACTGGGATCATCATCATTATACCAATCACCATTACAAGTAGAGTCAATTTTATATTAATGCTTAACAAGTTAACTAAATCAGCGTAATCAAGTTTTTATATGAAATATGCATCAAGTATTTAATGTAACAAATAAATTAACAGAAAAATTTCTGGAAAAGTTTAAAAAAATTAGGACATATGACTCTGATCAAAAATCATTCGCGTTGACACTGCATTTGTATGGGCATAAGGCATATGATTATCTTTGGACAAATGGCTTACATCTTCCTCACACTAGGACATTAAGAAAGTAATCTTGTCATACCTGTTCAATAATTTTAATAAGATTGTTTCAAATAACTATTCTCAATGTCATTTTATTAACACTACATTAAAAGGTGGCTACAAAACATTGATGGTATGCCTGGGGTGATTTCTACAAACCTTATACTATAGACTAATGGTGATGGGAATCCTCTGGAACTGTAGGATCATGACATTCAATCTAGTCATGGATTGAGAAATCAATCCTTGATATATTTGATAACAAACATTTATTATAATATAAGAATCAAAAAAAGATGTAGGTGTAAGGCAAAATCTTACTGGAACTATTATTTTTAGCAATTTATGAATTATTTTTTTATTTATGACTTTATCCATTTTCAATGATACCGATATTTTTAATTATTATTATCCAAATTATACTCATGCCTATATAAATTAATTTGATTGTGGCTATTTCTATGCTTAATTATTTTATTTACTTGCCATAGGTATGCACAGCATTTAATAAATTAATGATAATAATTAATAACACAACATTCTAAGTGCATAAAATATAATAAATTAAAAGTACAATTTTTACAAACCTCATTGGTTATGGTGATGGGGATTCTTTAAAACTGAATGATCATGATCTAACAAGTCATGGATTGATGAATCACTGGAATCACACATTATCTTTAATAAATTTAATAACAACATATACTACAATTTAAGAATGAGGAATATTTTGTAAAACATTAAATGAAAAAAAATTTAGTTTGAATCACTCATAATTATTAAATTTTAATTAAATTGCTAGTTAGCTTGGGGAGTTTGAAGCTTGAATTGAACAAATTACAAAATTGTTTATTTTATAAAATTGATTGGTAAGTTGTTTAATATATTTATTTTAGTATATTTTTTATTCCCAGACCTAAGCATTGTAAATAAAAATTTTAAAACCAATCAAGCAATAGAATTTAGGATCTTAGGAACAAGTGCTGTTAGTCGTTAGTGTAGTAGTAGTATGTAGTAGTGTAGTGGTTGGTAGTTTCTAGTAGTCTAATCTGCTAATCTGTTAATGTTCGTTAGTGTTATCTGTTATTTATTTCAATTAGTAATTAGAATCAGTAGAGTTTAGTTTTAGCTTAATTATTAGAGTTTAGTAATTTAATTACTAATTAGTCGTCGTTTAGTGTTGTTACAGTTAATGAGTTAAGTGTTGATGGTGGTTCACAAAAAATTTTTTTATTTAAAATGCAAAAAGATATTTACCGTCATGCAGCAATATCTATCCTAAAACAGCATCTAGTATCACCTTTTAAAACATTTTGAAATTTTAAATAAAAGCAATATTCCGAAATTAGTAAATATACGATCGTAACTTTTGACTTGGGCGATAAAAAATCACCCTCCAATTTCCCTCCGAAAGTAAGCTCCTTGTTCGACCGTCAAAAATGAGCGAAGGCCGTTATATTTATTCTAATTATATGAGATAGATCATGAAGAATATAAAAAATCAGCATATAATTTACTAGTGAATGAAAAATTAATAATAATACGAGAAAAAAAATATTACAATGCAAATTAAAACTCACTAAAATAAATCTCAATATATTTGAAACAACACATAAGAGAATCTAAGATACGTATGTAAACTACGCTAGTTCTGTAATGTATAACAATTGGATTATTTATAAAACCTGATGTCCTACAGTTTACTCAATACAATGATTCACTTTTAGTTATACTGTTTCAAAACATTACTTTGAAATAGCGGATCGGCCAAATTCTAAGCGAAACGTGCCTCATGTTCTCTTCATATTTAAAGTTTGGATTACGATGAGTAGCTTATTATTGTCTAATAAATTAAGTACATGTATGTCAAGGACGCTTAAATTGTGTAATAAATTTTTTAGGAAATCTTATCTCACAAAATGTCGCAAATGGTCCACAGCAGTTTTCTTGACTTTACCTAACAGACGGCCGTACCAGATCTTACACAAGAATCAAAATTTTACTTCTCTAACCACATCAAATGAAAAATTGTTGACTGATAACTCGTTATTTTATATGAATTCCTGTGAGAGTGATCATAACTCAGATGACCTTGTTGCAACTGCTATTCGCAATCAAGATTCTTCCTCTGATTTACTGAATTTTGTCGACTCATTGCATTTGAACGATTTAACCCCTGATCACGTTAATTTGGCGCTTTACCATGCGATGAGGTTGCATTATCAAAGTTTGTATCATCAGCACAGTTGGTTACAGTCTAACATAAACATTGCTTTCATACAAATGTCCATTGGCAGAGACCTGGATGAGTACATGGTCCCTATTAAAAATCATCCTGGCTACGAAAAACTTATCAGTGCATGCCATTTGCATCATCAGGTTCTTGATGATGATAAAGTTCTTAGCATTCTGATTTCATTAATTTATTTGGGATTGTCAAAATATGACACATTAACTCATCTTTATCTTACAAAATTTTATAGAAGAACTGATGAGGTGCCATTAAGACAGTGGTTGATGATGAGCCAAGTTTTTAAGTGTCTTAACTCTCAAAACTTTTTAATGATTTATAAAACATGTGAATCTTTGAAGAAGTTCATAAAGAACAACTCTAGATGTTCCCAAGAAGATATGTACATCATTTCATATTTGAGTATCAACATGCATAAAATGTTGAAAACTGAAACTATTTTAGAAATCATAGAATGGTTACACAAAGAATTATCCGCTGCAGATTTGTCTGAGAGACCAACGTACCTATCTACTTATTTGAGATTTTTCAAAAACATTTCCCACAATCATTTCCACATGAGGGATGAAATTTCTCACAGTGTTGGACTGCTTCTGAAAGCTTGTAAGAATATCATAAACACCTTTGAAAGTCCAGACATTGCTGACATATGCAGATCTCTTAAGGTTATGAGGTTGTACAATGATGAGGAGCTTATTGAAACTGTGGGCAAGCGAATTAACAATTTAGTTAATGATAAGACTAGCCTAGTTGATTTATCAAACCTAATGTATGGGCTTACAAAATTAACTCCAAATTTTTTAGTTAGAAAATTTGAAAATTATTTATTTGCTCGAATGTCTTCTGAGAACGTTTCCATTGACATCGTCACATTATCTAATATAGCTGATTCGTTGTTCGAACTTCCGAAAATGAATAAAGATATCGTAATTTTATTTCAAAATTTAGTCACCCATCATTCAGACTCTATAATTGAATATATAACTCGCTTCAATAAAATTTCTAAATTGTTAATTAAGTATCCATTTATTGAACCTGAAAATGAGAAGATTTTTACAGAAAAAGTCATCAAATATATGGATGAAAAGCCAGTGTCCAGTTCTTACAATATAACTTACATGAGTCGATATCTCTTGTCTCTGAATAATTATGAAATTATTCCTAATCATGTTTTTCTGGCAATTGTAAAAGCATTGCCAAAATGGAGCATTGGGGAATTGTGCAAACTGTATGCAAATGTAAACAATTTAAATCTTTCAACTTCAAAAGAGCAAAGACAAAGATATCTGCAAGTGTTAGGAGATGTGCAACACCTGTTGATTGAAAAGTTACAGGATGTTGACAATATCACAGAGATTGATTCCATAGCATTGGCCATGGTGATCCACACAAAATTCAGGAATTCACTCCTAACGAAGCATGTCGAGGATGCTTTTATCAAATGTAGCGAAAACTTAACTGCAATGAGAGTTGCTAAAGCAGCAAAGTTAATGCGTCAGACAAATTTCCATATACCTAAAGTTTTTGAAAAGTTTGTTGAATATATAATTTCTAACAAGAATGAAACAGCTGATAGGAGTTCATCAAATTTGCTCAAGTCCATGGCTTTCAATGGCTACAGACCAACTAAAATGAATGATTTGTTCCAACCTCTCAGAGAGATCTATAAAAAACACTTTTCAGACAAAAATTTGTACCTCTGTCTTTCCATGTTGAATGATCTAACAACTTTACAGTGCTTCCCAGAAGATTTGCTTATTGAATTTTTTAATATTGACACCATTCATGACTTGGAAAAGTTTATGGAAGGTTTAATTTTGTGTTATCATTTTTATTTAATTTTAATAAAAGGATTGAATATTATAATGGTAGAGAATTCGTTTTTTTTGTATTCATTTTTCTCTTGTTTAATTTATATATTTGATTATATTAGAAAATACAGATTTGAGCATGAAGGCCCAGAAAATGTTGATGCAAGTGAACAGGTGCGTTGCTATTGAATGTCCCCACCTAGACATACCTTGGTTTCATGATCACTTCTGTAAAGATAACATAGGTGATCAATCCTTTTGTTTCGTGATTCAGATTATTATTATTTTCCTAATTTTTTCATTGAATTTGTACAAGTTAAAGAGATTAACTAGATAAAACTTCCATTTTTAGTATCATTATCATCAAATACTTATATGATTGTTTGGCTATCTAATATCCTCTGCAAAGTTATAAAATGAAACTTTAAAATTAAAATGAGAAAAAACTCAATTGTTTAATTAGTTAAGTAATTAATTAAATAATAAACTAATTAATTAATTAATTCAATTCAAGTCAAAATAGAAACTCTGAACACGACCTCTAAAAAGTTGATCCACGAAGTCAATGAATTGTTAGAGCAAATACTGAATGGTCCACTTTTCATTCAAAAAAATTCTTACTCCCCTTTCTACCACAAATTCGGTTATTTATTTTTCATTCCGCTCAACTTACTTATTAATTATTATTTAATATACTTTCTCTGTTTTCTCTAATTGCATGCAATCAAAATTTTTTGCTGAAGATGAAATGTGTTTAATTTTAAGACTTTGAATGTGCTTTGAATAAGAAAAAGAAACCTGTACCGGCAGCACTGTTTAATGATAAATATGAAGCATCCATTCAGAGGTATCTCTTCATTTAATTTTTTTATATTTGTCCTTTTGTTATCTGCATTTAGGCGATTTCATTAGTTTCATGTGGGAAAAATTGTTTTTAATAAAAATTTACTCTATCAATTATTGTTCCTGTAAGGATTGTTTATAAGATCAATTTATAAATAATTATTATAATAATTATTATTAGGTACGCGATATGTGTTCTGTCTGAATCGTCCTATTGCAAGAATGGTAAATTTCTCAACGGCAAGGAGTGCGTTCGAAAAAGACATCTGCAGTTATTAGGCTATAAATTTATTGAGGTAATTTAGTTTTTATTTCATACAGTATTTAATATGACCGCATAATTGTAATGTTTTATTTAAAGTTAAAATTTAAAGGCTCAATGCAGTTTCAGTCTATTATTAAATTCAGACATCTAAAACAGCTTTTTATGAATATGAATTAATCTATGATATCTTAAAAATTATTTTGACGAGTGTGTTCAACTTAGCCTATGGGTAAAAATTATGTTCTCATTTTCAATATTTTCAGGTTCCGTTTTTTGAGTGGTATTCCATGGGCTTAACAGAAAAATTAACAAAAAAGAAGTATTTGGAAGACAAAATATTTAAAAATAGCTAAAATATTTTGTTTTTTATTTTTAAATTATTTAACTTTTATGAATTTGAATAAAAAAACACTCATCCAACCAATGTTTATTTAATTGTGAAGCTGCAATGATGAGCGCGCTTTTGCAAGTCTTTTTGCTTACTTGTTCGTACAATTATCCAACTTTATGCCCGTATCCCGACCCCTGAATCCAACACTGAAAACCTGTTAAGTAATCAAAATAAAAAAATGGTTGCCCTTTTTCACTACTTTCAAACAAAATTCTTTTAATTAAATGATATCGGCAAGATTATGCATGTGTGCTAATTCTATTCATTTTCTGTAAATAATTTAATGTAATTTTTTTAATCTAAATTTGATAACTCTGAAACATATGTCAAATAAAACAAAATTGTTGTCAATGAACAATGAATATGACGTCTTCAAACTCGTCTAATCAATGTTGTCATCCTAGAATCTCGTGTAGGCACTTGTGGCACATTCATTGCACAAATGCTACAGAAAAAAAATCTTTGACTGAACTGCAATCTTTTCTTGGCTTTCATCTATCTAATGAAAGCATCTGGATTTCATAGTTCGCACAGAAAAGGTTGTAAACTTTATGATCTTTTGGTAGGAGTAAAACGAGGTTGCATATCAGCACAGCATGGCTCTGCATTTACTGTCTTACTGACTTACTTTTCCGCACAAGCGTAGGCATTACATCTACGTACCGCTGTCTCAGTGCTTATGTCGTTCATTTTTCCATCAAAAACGACACTTCCTGTTAAAACAATACCGGTACACAGCCATACATTCCCTAACTTTCAAATAATTTCATTTTATAATAAAAAAAACGGTGCCCAGTGCGTACCGTCACAAAAAAGCACTGCGCTCCAGGGCCGCTGTTACGTATCAGACTCCAAGTGCAAAAGAAAAGTGTGGGGCTGTAACTTTAAAAAAAATTACAGAAAATATATGATTAAATTAATATAAGTATAAATTCGCTGCTTTTGCCGATTTTATACAAAACAGCGTAAACCAATAATCTATACTTTTAACGGACGCAAGTTTATAAACGGTATACAAAGAAATTTATTAGTAATTTAAACAAAAGTAAAAATAGTTAAAACATTTTGAACAATATCGAATGCGGATTTCAAACCAGAGGAATCCAACCAAGGTAATAAAAATAAAGAAAATTTATTTGTTTAAAACTAAAAATAACCCTCTGGAACTAAAAAAAAATAACCTATCTAATTTGAAGATATTGTTCTATTTCTAAGTGATAAAAAGATAAAAAAAAATTATTTACCGACATATAAGCAGTTTTCAAAAGTATTTTCGAAACAGTGCAAATGCAACGAAAATGAATTCCATCCACACCGAGAGCGGAGCAACCTTATGACAGTATTATCAAACTTCAATACCGGGATGATACCGCCTTTTGAATGCCTTTCCTGCACGTTTAGTCATCGCTCTTAAGAACGGTCACGACGCTGTGTGAACTAAGCACATACGTATAGAAATTCTATTCCATGCATCTAACCAAGATACGCCTACGTTCCGTTTCTTGGTTCATGGGTCTCGTTTATTGGTTCATGGCGATGTATCGGCAGAAACGCAGAAAATAAATTTACAAATCTCAGCCATTTTACAAGAATGACTGCAGCCTGAAAGGTAGCGTTAAACATTGAATAAAAGCTGCGTTTTCTGTTTTGGGTTGACTTAGGGCAGTATATGACCTAATGGTTAAAAACACCTGGTTCTGCTTGGCATGACCTGATACGAATACGAGTACGAAAGTGGATCACCCATATCTTATGGTTTGCATGTGATGCATCTTTTAGATCGTCTTCATATACATTGTGTTGTCGATAACTCTGGATATTAGAAGAGTGTAATGATCCTTGATTTCAAGTCATTGTTTAGTATCTTGCCATGTCATCAACAAATTGTTTGCAAAGACGTGTTTTTGCACATCAGTAAAATCTAAACACTTAATAGACGGCACACAATTTTTCTCGTTTAGAAAAATGTCATCGTGTGTAGAAATGTGATAAAAATTATATATTTTTAGTTACTTCAAAAAAGCAGAGCTTTCCATGCAAACGTGTTCTTTGTTTACTTCTTGTTTTTTATTGCGTCTTAATTACTTGCAGTATTTGAATAGGCATTGTAAACAAAAAAGTTCCATTTATTTAAAAAATTAATTATTTTGATAAATACAATGACGGATATAGGGACATCAAAGAACAATGCCGCCAATGAAATACCATCTTCATATTCGTCTGCTGGAAATAAATTATTTTCGATGAAATTATTTTCGTCTTGGGATGGAGAAAAATCCACTCCAAATTGTATTCCCAGGTGGGCAGAGAAACTTTATAATTATATTATAATTATAATTTACTTAGTTTAATATTCGTTTTATTTTTTTGATATATGGAAATAACAATTTGATAAGTTTGATTAAGATATCATAAATTAATTTGATTTTTTGTAATAAATAATAAAATTTTATTAAAATAATAACAAATTAAATAATTTATTTTAATAAAACAACTGAGCTACCAAAAAAAACATTAAAAAAAATGTATTTTTCCTTAATAATGCTGTTTTTGTGTTGAATGGATGAATAAATTAAAAATTAGCTAATTTTATTTTTTTAAATTAAAATAAACTTTATTTAATTTTTATATAACAAACAATAACTTCAAAAAAATAAAATAAGTGAGCAATTTAAAAATAGTTAAATTTTTTAATTGCATTATCTTTTAAAGGTTGTGCACATTTACTATAACACGTCTGGTGATTAAAAAGCCATTGGAGACTGAATGTAATTCTGTTATTATTGCTATAAAAATGGGAGGTAGCAAGCGCATCCTGAGATCCAATGAAATTGCAGTGCAGAAAAATGGATTGGTTGATTCAGAACTAGACTTGCTATTTTCTTTGCAGGTAAAATAATTTTTTTCATTTTACTTTTTTTTTAATTCTTTTTTAATCTTTTGCAAATTGCAGTTATTTGTGGAAGTTTCTATACTTCTGTTTAATCAACATTTGATACTTTTCAATTTTTAAGCAATTTTCTTCATGTTAAAATGTAAAAATGTTTTCTTCAGTACCCTCATCACCTGAAAAGGGATGGCAACAGGTTACAAATTATGCTACAGCGACGCAAAAAGTACAAACACCGAACCATTCTTGGCTATAAGATTCTGGCGTCTGGTCAGATAAACATGTCACAAGTTCTTCAACACCCAGTCGATCAAGAATTAAATCTCCACTCACCTTCGAAGGATGGAAAGAGTGAAGCTGTGGCCAAGGTAGCCATCATGTCGTTGTCCAGTCAGCCGGTTGATCAGGATGACCTTAGAGGCCATCCAGGAATGGGCAAAGGTCAGTTGCGTTTAATGGCTTTTGTTATATATATATATATATATTTATTATTAATATTTTTAAAAAATCTGGCAGATGCAGAAACTGTTACAACATATATGTATTAATATAAACTGATAATGAAAAATAAATGACAGAGTAAAAATATTTAAGCATAATAAGCATAGAAAATAAAATACTATTTATATATAATAATATATTTAATATATATTCCATTTTTTGAAATAAATTATCAAACATTTTGATGAATTCAAATAGGATATATTGGAATTATGTAATTTTTATTTATTATTTTTCTTTGTGGAATGATTTTAGCTCTTTTAGGCTCTTTTTATTTAAAATACTGTTTGTAAAGGACTATGTTTTACCTTCTGCTGTTTGTTTTATTGTTTTTATATACATAGCAACAGATTAAATTTTTTAAGAAACAGAATTTCAAGGTTTTAATATTAAGCAACAACTAATTTTTATCTCACAATGTCACAATGTTCACAATGTCACATCAAATTAAAATAATTTTATTTGGTTATTCGTGTATTTCTTATTTCACTTGTTTATCAAACGTTTGAAGAATGCATGGGTAAACTATAATGATAAATTCATAATTTTTTAATTCTTTTGGCAGTTTTGTATAAAATGTTTAAGAAATAATTTCTAAATAAGTAATGTTGCTTTAAGACCATGCATTCATGCAATCTTCCTGTTTGATTGTTTTATGTTCATTGTTCGGTGTGTGTCAGTGTGATGTTGTTTGTGTAATCAAGCTTATAAACATCTATCTATGGTGTTGTTTCACAAATATTTTCTAAGAATTAATGGATATCTTTTTATGGAGGTCCTGTGTGTTAACAAGAATAAGATTGTATTTCATATTTGTTGGTGCTGAATGTTGATGTCTATTAATAATGAGATTGTTGAAGATTTTCTTTACTTCACATGACTTTTAATGTTATGTATGTTTCATCAGACCATGTTCTGTCATTCATGCTGATTCATTTTTTAGTATTAATTACGACAATAGTTGAGGTAAATAGCCAATGTTCAATTTCAAATTCAATTTTGTATCTTCTTCATCGATCAATCCATCCTTTAAAATCTGTTTTGGATTCGTATCCGCTTAACTCTGCTTCATTTCCTCATTTAGTAAAAAATGTTTGACTGCGAGCTAGAAAAGTGACTGATATTAAAGTTCCCTTACAAAAAAAAATTCCAGATCGTTACACAAATTACGACACGTGGGACGATGAGGAGATGCAGGATGATGGCGACGTCTCATCCAACGATGGACTGAGTGATTTCGAAGCCATGGACCATCCTACCAGACCCAGGAACAAGAGTACTTTTAGCAACGCATTTGCATCACAGGTTGCTTCTTATAAACTTTGAATATGATATATAATAATAAGGGATACAATGAGAGCTGAATGAATGCAAAACTTCTTTTGCTTGCATTTATCAGTGCAAGATTCAACTCCGTAGATAGACTCTATTGTTAATTTCACTGTGAGTTTAGTCCAAATTTAACTGGTTCCTCTTCATTGTGTTAAATTTTTACTAATGTTAACAATAATTGATGATGAAAAAATATTGTGAACAGCAAAAGAATTTGAAGCAGAAGTTCATAAAGCTCATCAGAAAGTTCAAAGTGTCAGATGAGGTAAGGTTTTCATTCTATCATTCCATTATTCTACTACTAACTCTTTATCTTTGTCATCCTTTATTCTCATATATTTTTGTTTTATTTTAATTTCTTATTTATGTTTGATTATATATATTTATATGGTTATTTTATTAGATAATTTATTTATTTATTTATCACTTGAAAATAATCCATTAATATTAATGTGGTAACATGTTTTTTCAGAGAACAAACAGTACCTAAATATTACAATGTTGTTGATAGTTTGAAAGCAAGTTGTATTAGCATATATATTTGTTTGTTTATTACATGCCTGCCATGCAGTAAGCAACAAGGTGGTTGGCGTTGTTGGATGTTTGCTGGTGACGTTGGTTATTGCAGCTTATTACAATTTTTATTCGTCTTGTTATTTTTGTTATTTATCATTTGACTTGGTTTAATTTAGGCTGGTCGGATGTTCATTGTGTTATACGATGTAGATTTGATTTTTTTTATTTTTTAAAAATATCAAATTAAAAATTTTATTAAATATTTTAAGGGTAATAAAGCTTAATTATTATAAATTATTATCGATTTGTTGTTAATGTTATTACATCACATTAGTTTTCTATCTTGTTTTAAAAGATGTTAACAATTTCATTAATTTAAATTCATTTTCATTACAAGATGACTCACTCAGTGGTGAGTGTGGCCCACTTTTAACAGGAACCACTTGTTATAAATTTCTGTAGCTTCTTTAATCTCATTGCTGATGATTATTTTATAATTTGTGGTGATCTTTGTATGAGCCAGAATGTTTATCTGTAATAAATTTGTCTTCAAAATTGCCAACATTAAAATGTGTATATTAGTTTATGCTAATTTATTCACTCATTCAACCATTCGTTTATTCATTTCCATTTTTTCATTAATTTATTCATTTTTATTTGTTCAATTTTTCATTTTAAAGTAATAAATATTATTTTGTCTCAGTTAATTTTACACCACATTGCACACCTGTTTCTATTTGATCATTGCCATCATTCATTAATGGTCTGTTCTCACTCAGTTTGAAGGAACATCAATTTCGATTTATCTGGGTAATGTTGTGTTGCATTACATTACATGCCTCTATGTTGGTAGACATATTTATGTGTATACGACTCACATGCTTTGTATGAATTTTTGTACGTATTATTGCATCTTTATGTGTGTACTTATTCATACTTTGGTCTCTTCTATTTAAATTAAGTGTTTTTCAAAATTTGTTTTTGGCTTTGTCAATTTTTTTATGTATATTTTTACTGAGATGTATGCAACTGTTAAACTTGATACCATGCTGTCTTGATTTTTATATTAATCACGCCATGATGTTGACTACTTTTACATATTCATATCATTCCAAAATCATATCTACTTATTTTTCTTTCATGTATAGTTGTTTATTCACTTATTCCACACACCACGCACACGCACACATACATACAAACATTCGCATCTGCAGGTTTTGGCATCAGCAGTGCAAGAAATTGGTGTCCACGATGCTCACCGCTACACTGATGATTATCTCTTTGATGACGTGGAAAGTCTTTCGGATAGTAATCCTGATGTGGATGCAATTTCTCTGCAGTCAGTCCCAAAGCCCAAATTGAAGTAAGTTTGTGCGTCTGGAGGTGCATGTGTTTATTGTTTACTGCTTGTGTTCGTGTATGTACCTACTGTTCTTGTCTCATATAACTTGTGCAGATGTTTTTTATTGAAAACTTTTTGTTGGTGATTAAAAGAAGAGTTGTACTGGTGAACATTGAAGTGAATTTGAACTTGGAAGACTAATCTATGTGAATGTGTTTTCTAAATGATTCATATTTTTCAGTTTTTATATCGGTGTCCCTTTAATAATGTTTAGCATAATTTTTTCTTATTTTATGGATGTTTCATTGTTGTTCTCATCTCAGATTACTAAAAAAGAATTATCAAAAGCGTTTAAAAACTTTTTGAACTCAACTTTTGAGCACATGTGCTGTAAATTAAAATTTCTATTTGTTTTGAAAATAAGCTGGGAGTCAGAAAGTATTATAAAAGATGGCAACGCCGTTCAAATAAGGATGTTATTCATAACGCAACAAACACTAAAAGACTAAATATATCATCACTTCGTAAGCGTTTATTAGCGCAATTCTCTGAATTGAGTGACGAACCCAGGACACACTTCAGGTCAGTGGCAGTCCCGACCCAGGACACACTTCAGGTCAGTGGCAGTCCCGACCCAGGACACACTTCAGGTCAGTGGCAGTCCCGTCCATATTTATCATCTCTATTCAGTGTCATGTTTGGCTACAGCAAGCCTGGTGCTTTCCAGTTTTTTCATACTTCCTTCCAGATGGACTTTGACATACCAGCATACCAGATTTCTGTGGTCCTGTGATATAAAAGGCATGATTGGTCGCGTGAAGGGCGGTGCCCGCGGGAAGGAGGACGGCGGCATTATATTGGATTTTAAATGCGTCTCTGCTGTATGTATAATTTGGTGTTAGTGTGCTGAGTTTATTTTGGTCTATGAGCAATTCATGATTCATGTGAATGTTTGCAAGAATCTGCATGGGAAATTAATGAATCTTTTCAGCCTTTAAATAGAAACAGATTAATGTTGCAAGTGAATGTGAATCTTCTACGCTGCATTGAAACACTTGCACCTTCATCATCATCACTAGCACCATTTTCATTCCAATGTTGTTACATTCCTTCCACCCCAATGTTGTTACATTCAATCATTTTTAGTTGAGTTTTATTCATTTTTGAAAATGCATTCTCAAAATATTGATCAATTTTTCATTGTTAAGAAATTAATCTGTTAAAAACAAACAGACACTCATACTATATGCAAGGCTGTAAAAAACTTTGTGAGTACTCTTATTATTCTGTTTAATTTGTAAATACACAATGATTTTTGATCCGTGTTTACCTTATGCATGCATACCTCTTAAAGCAGAAGCTTCCTTGAAAATTTAATAAAGGTGAACTCATCATTCGTTCGTCGTCGAGTTCGTTCATTGACCTGAGATTATTGTATACAGTAAACTTAATTCTAGTTTTTTCCATTGTTATTGTTTGTGAGTTGTCTTATGAAACATGCTACTCTCATTCATTCTGTGCAATCTTTCAATCTTGCGGCTGACATTTCTGAGAAGCACAATTTTAATGTACTTTGATCCTGTGATGATGCGTGCGTGTGCGTGCGTTGCAACTGTGTTTAATCAAGTTGTGCAGTGTTTATACTGAAAATTGTTTACATTTTTGTAGCCAGTAGTGTGCATGGCAAATGTCATTATCTACCTTAATTTTATTTATTACATGCCAATCATTGATATTTGCCTCGTCTTTATAAGCAATGGCATTGAACATGTTAAAAATGTTTTGGCAACATCGCTTTCATCACATTCTTGGCCAAAAATTTAAAAACTTTCTAAACAGATGTTCATTATATTCAGATAAAAGGACGAATAATGATTTTACGCTTATATTGTGATTGATCGTTCTGAAAAGTTATATATTGATAACTTCACTGTCATGTTGTCACTTTAGAAATTTCGTTTTAAAATTTGCTTGCTTTTTGTTTCATGATTTGTTCTGATGAGGGTGTTATGCATGAGGTAACATAAAGATGACATTTGGATTAGTAATAAAATAAAAATTAAAAATATTATGATGATGATGGTTGTGGTGATGATGTTCATTTTTCAGACCCTTCTTCGAAGTAAATCAATCTGACAACACAGTTAATGTGCAGAGGGTTAGTTGTCTGTAAACATTTTATTGTAAACATTTTATTGTAAACATTTTGTTTTAAACATTTTATTATAAACTTTTTATTTTTTTCCTTATTTTTATGATTTGAACAGTTTTTCCAATACACACTAAATATATTTTTTGAAAGAATATTAGCACACCACAGTAACGAATTATGCTAATGAGTCTGGCTGATTAAAATAAAACTATGTTATCAGCCAATTCCTATCTTTCAGCATCAGAGCAGCTGTTTTATGCACGCGTATCTTTAAATATGATTGCCAACGCATGTATTAATAACATCATTTTTTTATCAGTTATGTTCAATTTGATGATATCACAAAAAATTACAAACCACGAAATTAGTCCCACTTGGAGAATGGGCAGCAGTTGACTAACGACAACCAGCCGACAACGATGGCAACGCCATCTGCACCACCGGCCACAACTCTTGCCAACAAAAAGCAAGAAACCAAATCAGAGAAGAGAGGTGAAAAAAATATTTCAGACCTGTTCAGCAAGAAGGCTTCAGACAAAACTAATTCTGAATCGAATAGCAAGAAAGAAAAGAATGTTGAAGGCACGTCAGCTGGAGGCGTAGGTGTCACTGGCAGCGATAAGAAGTCATCTGAAAAACAATTCCCTGCTTTGTTCTCTGGAAATAAAAAAAGTGAAAAAAATATGTCGGCTGATAGTTCTAAAAAAAATTTGGAAGTAAAAACTGCAAATGACGTTTCTTCAAATTTCCAGAAGAAGTTATCATCCATAGTGGCTGAAGGTGGAAATAACGTGGCAAGGAAGGTGGAAAAGCCGATGTGTTACGATCTGAAGGTCAACGAGTCAGACGCCTTTCAAGCGGTTCGTTCGACAACGTCGTCACTTTTTGTAGTTCATTGTTGTTCACGTTTATGATTTTTCATTCTTTGTTATTTTGTTTTTGTTGTTCTTTTTGCATATTTTTTGGTGGTTCTGTTGCTTTGATGTTCTGTTCATGTTTGATGGCGTCCATGTTATTATATTCACGTTGTTCGTTGATCATCGTGTCTGTCATGTTGGTGATATGAGCAATTAGGATGCATGCTTGTTCTGGCAGGTATTGTTTGCTGACTGTTTTTTTCCCTGAAGGTTTTTATTTTAATTATGCTCTGTTGATGTGTGTGTTTTATTACGTCCATTTTTGTTCGTAATTTTATTTTGTTGTGGTGTTTGTTGCTATTTTGTTTGCTACTTGTATTTTTATGTTGTTGTTGGTTACCTTGATTTGTGGTTCCATTATTAAGTGGAATATATGTTATTTTGTGTTGTCTGCTGCTTAACATGATGCTTGCTCTCTTAGTATCTCTAAATTTTATCATGTAATCAATTGAATTTTTATTTTGTATTGTCTTATAGTATTTGTTTAATAGCGTTGATTATAGCTCACTAGCCACATTACGAAACATCAACCAGCTATGAATTTTCCACATACCACAGAAGCTTTTCCAGGATCAGATCACCTCCCTCACGTGCACCGATCACGTGCTTCCCAACTGTCTGGTCTTCATGAATTACCAGGAGCCATGTTGTCTTGTCAGTTCTCTGTTTTGTTCCTTTCTGTATTCACTTTTGTGGTGTTGTGCGGTGGTTTTAAGATGTCGTTATTGGTTCGTCTTGTAGTTTGTCGTTAATTGTTATTGTTGTTGTTCTAGCTGGGATTGTTTTGCCCATTTATGTAAACTTGAAGCACATTTTATGTCTACAATGTGACAGCAAAAATTTGATGAGTTGTTTGATCGTGTAATCACTGTTATCACCAACATCATCATCGCTCCTCCTTTGTCGCGTGATCATCTTGTCTTCATCGTTATCAAACTATCATCTTTATATCGTATCGTATCGTATCATCATCCTGACTACAACGTTTCTCCTGTTGGCAACAGTCTCTGAAGCAGAAGATGGATGAGAGGAAGATAATGAGCATTTGTACGTCAACACACGCTGATGTTAAAACTGCTCTCAACGCTCTTGTCAATCGTGTTCAAAAGTTGTTAGTATTCATTGTGTTGTTTTGTTGTTGTTGTTGGGAGTGGTATTTTGTTGTTAGAGTTTTTGTTTTTGTTGTTGTGGAGCCATTTAAATTCACGCTATAGAAAGGACCATCATATCGACCTGTACCTGCACATATTGCTATTATCATCACCCCCTCTCATCGTCTTCGTCGTCATCATCGACTTATATCATCCACATAACATTCCACCAGCATGAATACGTCATCTCTGCTGATCAAGTTGGTCATTTTGGGAGGTGAGGGCTACTTACATTCAATAGTTCGTCCTTTTGTGAAGGTCATATCGTCAAGGTCACCTGACATTATACACCACGTCAGGTTTCTTGTGGTTCCTCTAGGTAGGTCTCTTGCTGGTTTGTTGGTTGTTTGTTTGGTTGATTGATTGATTGATTGATTGACTGGTTGGTTCTTTGAATGGATATTTCAAGCAAACTGTTATGATATTTAATTGTATGAGATTCGAGCTATTTAATTTTTTCGTCAAAAAAGTTATATAGAGATATTTTTTATTACGAATAGTTTGCCATTTGCAATTGTAAACTAAGTTAAATGCTAAATTATATTTTATGCCCTTTATTCCAGTTAATTTATTAAGATAAGTTACATCTTAATAGTTTGAGAAATCTAATTCATCATTACATCACGCCATTATCACACCAACACCACGCTATCATCACATCAACATCATCATTACATCACATCACTTATCGCCACATCATCACGACAGGTTACAGTTTTTTTTGTCAGAATCTTGCCCAGATGGATAGCAGGTACGCCAAATTGTTCAACGATGCTTATTGGAAGGAACTCACTGTTGACAAGATCGAATCTGGTCGGTTGGTTGGTTGGTTGGTAAGTTGGCTGGTAGTGGGTTGGTCAGTGGGTTGGTCGATTGGTTTGTCGGCTGGTTGGTTGGTTGATTGGCTGGCTTGTTAGTTGGTTGGTTGACTGGTCGGTTAGTTGCTTAGCAAGTTGGTTAAATCTTTTGTCGATTGTTTGGTTGGCTGTCTCAAAACAATTCTGTTTATTTATTTAGAGCATCTCTAAACTTGACAGAATGTGACTTGACGGAAGTGACGGACAGGTTGATGACGTACATGAGGGAGGCCTCAACGCTTGTACAGATCCCCTTCTCTGAGGTCGTCCTCACCAATAAGGAAAAAGGGTTGGCCATCTCTCTCATTCAATCAACATTTATGATTTTGTTCAACAGACTCTGTGTTAATGCACTTTAAATGCAATAACATGAACATGTTGTATTGTGTTAAATGTATCGTCAAGTTTTTAAAATGTTATCGTGTGTGTAATAAAATTCAATTACGATCTAATAAATAAAACTTATAAGATAACGTCCATGCTTTTGCTATTACATTATACCTTCTTCTGCATTGTTGATTAATTTGTTGCGCAAATAAATAAATTGTCTTTTCCGTTAATAACCAGACCTGATGACTCATCTCAAATGGTGGTTCCTTTTCTTGGGGTGAGTCCATATATGTTTTTCATGTTTGTCTGTTTGCTTGTTTGTCTGTCTTTTTGTTTGTTCTGTCTGTTTGTTTGTCTGTCTGTTTGCTTGTTCTGTCTGTTTGTCTGTCTGTTTGTTTGTCTGTCTGTTTTTGCTGACTTTCTAATCTATGTTGAGTAATGTGAAGAAGGAATGGCAAATATTAGATTTATACACCAATTTAAAACTACACGCCTATTGAAACTTGTAGTGGTCACACATATCTCTGTCAACATGAGAATGATTTAAATTAATTATAACTCTTTCTTTTTCTAATGCACGTTTGAGATCTTACTTATCTTCAATGAGATCTTCGATGACAACATTCGGCACATTTTTTCATATTTAGCCGGGTCAACTTTTGATTTAAAGATGTTAGTTTTCTAAAGAATGTCGGAGATCAGATTACAATGTGAATGATTTAAATCATCTTGACGACTTAAATTTGTGATTAGTTGCCTCTACAGCAATGAAGCGCAGACGTTATTCGGTTAATTTTACCTCTTCACTTCCAGTAGAGTTGTTAAGGTGGGATGATCTATTTTATTGATGTTATTGAGCTTCGCAAACTCTTCAGCTACCGAACTGGGAAAATAATTTGCAGTTTTATCATCTCTTTTTTATTTATTCGTTAATAAATAACTGAAAATTAAAAAATAAAAATGTTTTATCAATGTCAAATGAATGTTCTATAATGAAGTTGTTATATATGCTTTTAATTCCTCCAGCCAACTAACTTCTAATATTAATTTCGTCTCTGACGTGCTTATAATTGTTCATTTATTCTTATAGGAAATCAGATTGAAACCTATCGACATGGGATCAGGTAGTTTTTGCTTGTAAATATGTTGACTGATCGATTGATCGATTGATTGATCGATTGATTGATTGATTGATTGATTGATTGATTGATTGATTGATTGATTGATTGATTGATTGATTGATTGATTGATTGATTAGACGATTGTGTTTCACCGACAGACGTTGATGATGCCGTGTCAATCAGTCCTCCACAGTCAACATTTCTCGACAAGTTGAAGGAAGTCACCTCTCATACACTACAGGGTCCCTCAAATACTAGGTTTTTGCTAATTGTTAATCATTTTTCTCCCGTGTGAACAATTTGAAAGCTTAAATCACTTGTTGGGGTTTTATCTATACAATAAAATACGACCAACTGATGTTTAAGATGTATAGTGTCACTGCAACTGACTTGTATGTCGTGTTGAATTGAGTCTAGTTTTTGTAGATTATTCAAACTCTTTATTTGGCTGACAAAATTTATATTCCTGGAGATTTCAACATCGTATTGAAAAGTCGTCTGAATATATGTATGTGTTGTTCCAATTCTTAGCGGGCATTGTGGTTGCAAGCAAACTTCGCTATAGGAAATAATGATTTTATCTGTTGCTTTTAATAACCTCTTCCATTTATCGCCTAACAATCTTTATAACTGTTATGTACAGTTTCGTTAAATAATGCAATTTCATTTACCGTCAGTCAACAACAGCAATCTAACGTCATTTCGGTGGTAACAGTAACGATTCCTCCAACATCGCAGTCCACTGCCACAACTTCAACGACTGCAACAACCACCACAACTGCAACCAACCAAGCTACACAGGTAGATGTACAAACAGCAACCACAACAACCACCACCACAACAACCTCAGCCACAGCAGGACCAGCAACAACTTCATCGTCAGACGAATTAGAGTTGCAGATGGATTACTGGATGGTGCCAAAATCAGAAGGAACTTCAGGGAACCTCTCAGAGAAGGCCGTCAAAAAAGATGCCAAGTTCTCCCTGAAGACTGCATTCAAGTTCGTTCAAATCTTTCGCCCTGGCCTGGCCTCCGTACCACAAATTCCACAATATCAACAAATGACTCATGACTCACCTCCAACTAACAACACAGTTACAAGTAATGCTGGCTTATCTATGGTTTACGTCACCAAAGATAAAAAACAAAAAAGTAATATTATTAACTGCATCAATTTGTTTATTTAAAGGTTGCCGTATAATTTTTTGTGGAAGTTTATCTTTTATCTGCTGACGATATGTTGTGTGATAAGTTTACAACGTTTTTATTTAATGTAATTTTTGAGTAAGGAGTCGTTAGTGCATAACAATTATTAATTCACATCTACCACTCACACGAAAGTAATGAGGATTGGCAAGAAATCCCGTGATGATGCTGTGAAGAGTCAACAAATAGATGGCATCAGCAGGTTGATATGCACATCGAAGGGACAGAGTCATCATCTCACAGGTTGTCTGTCGGCTTGTTTGTACGTATGTGTGCTTCGATGTTTGTTTGTTCATTTGTTTGCTCGCTTCCTTGCTTGTTAGTTTGTGGACTTGTTTGTGCTTGTGTGTGTGCTGGTTTTCTTTTGTGTTTCGTTGTTCATCCTTGATGAATTGTCATGGAAGATGATTGTTCCTAATATTTATTATTTTTCTTTCAATGTTTTTATGAACGTTCAAGTTTTAAATCGCTACCAGACTACTCAGTATTCATTTGTTCCCATTGACTGTTTGTCAATGTAACTGACGACAGGCTGGTGCACTGATTGCTGAATCGATCAAACAATCCGATAACTGATCTATTTAATTTTTGTATCTAACTAATTAATTAATTTATTTACTGATTGATTGATTGATTGATTGATTGATTGATTGATTGATTGATTGATTGATTGATTGATTGATTGATTGATGTGTAGTAAGCATAGACGGCATGGACTGGACGGGAATAAAGTTCTTCCAAGTTTCAAGTCACTGGCAGACGCACTGCAAACACTTTCCTGTCCTCATTCTAGGCGGCAGCACTACCGACATCTCACTCAATAATTAATTTCTTCCATATTCATTCGTTACTTCATTCATTTAATAGCTCATAATTTAAAAATAATTTTATTTTCTAGATAGTTATTTTATTTTCAATTAATGTTCTATATATATTTGCTAAGGAATGGATTAAATGAAATATACCATATAAAATAATTTCTTTGGTATGCCTGTCATCGTTGTCATAGTTGTTATCGTTATACAATCTTTTATGTGAAAAGACGTTTTTTTATGAGAGTGTCGACAAATATTATCGGCACCGATAATAATTTTATATTGATATTTTTAAAATTGGCGAATACAGCATTCGTGGTGTATTAATTGTACATTTTTTATCTTTGTTCGTGTTTTACTAGTTGGTCTTAGAATTATTTTCTTCGCTTTTAAATAACTTTTTGACATTTGAACGCACGCTACTCAACATAAAATATTTATATACATCTGTTGTGAATATGTAGAGGTTGTCTCTTCTTTTATTTTTCTTCGTCTGACTTATTTTTCTTTGTCAAACACAAGTTGAAAAGGCTGATGACGATGAGATGATTATGTTGAGCTGTTGTCATTTCATTGTTTCCGAGAAATCACAATCATCCAGATGCTCACAAGTTTCATCTTGTACTCGTTTAATTTCGTAATCAATGTGATGGTTATGTGAAGTAATGTGGCGACATTTTGTAAATACTTGTAATTCACATTTACAACTTAACTGCTTTTCTATTTTAAATTCCTTATATATTGAAACGTTTCTTTATTTTTATGTCATTTTGTTTTTCATTTTTTTTATTTAAGCAAGTGATCTTAAGCAAGATTTTGGCTTTTCATTGTAAATATTTTTTTAATTCAACTTTTATTTGTTTTCGTTTCAACTCAAGTATTTTCGGTTTGTGTAATTTTCAACGAAAGGTAATAATTTTTCATAATAATTTCTTTACTATCTGTTGACATTTACACAGTATTATTACAACAGTTTAGTGTACTATTCATCATTAGCTTGCTATTTAAAGAAGACATCCGTTTATTTCGTGCCGTAATGATATACAGGTTTGATACCAATCCACTTCTTAGTTACTGGGTGGTTTTTACTAATTTCGATTTAAATTGTGAACCAAACATTGCCATCTCTTACTTTTTAGTGACTTTTAAATTGATAATTTCAACATTTATTTTTCGATAGCTCCGCTTTGGAGTAATATTTTAATCTTTTAAAAGAAGATTATGGCGGAATTAAAATTCAGTCAACTGACCGAAGCAGACATTCTGTATGTTATTACACACGACGTTAACTTATGACCGGTGATGAATGACGATGACGTAGACTCATCGTTTCCAACGAGTAAACAAGTTTCAGAAATTATTGAAGAAAATTACAAAAATAATGTTGGCAGTGCGACCGTTCTCGTAGCATTTAATATTTTGATTTGAATTACTCACGTGCGTTAAAAGTGTGCATATGTAATTTGTAGTATAGTATTTATTAATCATCGTGCGGGTTATATTAAACATCGCTTGCTACAAATAAATATTTTAGTTAAACGATTTGCTACAATTAATTAACTGGTACCTTGAAACAGTATTCATTTCTTTATTTTAAATAATTCGAATGATTTATGCAAGGAAAAGTTTTTTGATTCACAAGTACGAATCATTTTACAGTATTTCAAACATTAATTATGCAGCATTGCATTAACTTTTGCAATTTGTGGTGGTCTAATTTGCTTATGACATTTTGTTTATTTGAAACAAAAATGAAATATACTTTACCTCGTATTTATTTTCTTACCATAAACTTAAATTTCATCTCAAAATGATCAAAATCGGTTGTTGAGAAGACAAAAAATTTTTCAATCGGCGTGAATTTTAAGCCTGGGTGAATGTTCTTGGAAGGTTGACAAATAGTGGAAGCAATGTTCTTATTGTTAAGGTTAGATAACAGAGGCCACAAATATATTATGTTCGTAAAATAATTTAACTTAATTTATGTGATTGATTTACTCTCTACTGACGCAACTAAAACAAGCACTTTTTTACTTTCTATAACCAGTCAATCAGACGTGGGTTCATGAATAAGCATCACGTTGTGCGTTGCATAAAAAAAATAATTGTTTAACGAAAATGACCAGATTGAAATGGTCAGGTTCAGTCTCATCAATTACGATGAACACGAATCTCCACTCAAACAAATAGTTAATAATAATTCAAATGTTCAATAAATATAAATACAAATAGGCGTAATTAGTAAAAAATTAAACAAATGTTTGTTAATGAAATATTTGAAAACTAGAGAACAGTTCATTTTAGTTTGGAAAGGGTGTTATCGCAAAATTGATTAAGCCATTCAGATGAACTATTCCGTTGATATATAACAAGAAATCTTCGGCAACGTATTGAACTGAAAGGTGATATAAATTGAACAAAAGTACCTATTAGATCTGCTTACAATAACGATCAAGACGATGATCACCAGTCAGCTATTTGAAGTGTTGAGCCAACTTGGCAGACTTGTAATCAGACCGCAGTTGTATGAACGACGTTAGAACTGATTTATCCAGGCCAGCCTGTGAAAAATTAATTCACCTTACTGAATTCACCACCATTGAATATCATCATAGATCGCAACATTAGGTAGATACATCGGTTGACATCATTACTGCTATCGTCGTTATCGAAAATACCAATATAAACGGAATGTGACTTAATCGGACATTTGATACAATCTCACTTGATTACTTTAGATATGTCATTTAAAAAACATACTATAACTTCAAGCACAACAGACCATCATTTCAAAAATGTTGCTTATTTAACAAAAAAATCGTCGTCGTTTAAGCAAAATTCTGAAGTTTTATATAAAAAATTCGCGAACAAATTATTTTGTTTTGAAATAACTGAAAAGGGCGCCGTGTTACAGAAGTTTAGAACAGCGTGACAATATGATGCTGCATCTTAACAAAATCAGCCAGCTCTACCGACCTTGAGGAACATACATATAAATATATTAATATATAATGCGGAAAAACCAGGATAATAACAAAGGCAGCAGCACTCTACATACCAGCTCATCTCCGAGGCAGACTTGTTTGATGTTGTCAGGAACGACGACGAGCAGGTTGCAGAGGGCATGCAGGGCGTTGAAGAGTTCATTGATCAGTCCTATCTGCAGGTTCTTCAGGCACTTGCGATACTCATTAATGTCACATATGACCATCATCGCTCCTGAGCAATAACAACAATAACAACAACAATAACAACAATAATATTAATTTATGGATGGTAATAATTGGCCAAAAAGGCCTACGTTCACGAGAAATGTAATAAAGCCAAATATGCGAGCAAAGTGTATTCAATTTCTTTGTAAATTAACAGCATGCGTATCATAACTGCATGTTAATTGTTGCGTTTGAACACTGACAACATATGAGAAATATAAAAATGAAATGACAAAACATTTACCGATGGAATTGTATTGGAACTGCTGCAAATGTTCATAAAGAACTCTGTGAAATCGAACTGCGAACTCTGTTATGACGTTGTCGACATTTTTGCCATCGAGACCAGCGTTGATGAGGTTGATCCAAGACTTCAAGTAGGACACAACCTTCGAACAAGCCTTCATCGTAACGAACGCAGTCATTATTAATCTTTATAATTAAGAGCCAGCTACATAACAAACAACAACATGTAACATAACAGACAACAATATGCAACATAACAGACAACAACATGCAACATAACAGGAAACAACATGTAACACCAGCGACAAAAAAAGACAACAACATATAACACCAGCAAGCGACCAACAGTGGAGAACATTTGTAGAGGACCTTCCTCTGCCTCAGGTTTGAAATCTGATTTCTTCTGTTCTGTTGTCAGTATGTACTTGAGCCATCCAACCATAGAAGTTAGCGTCCTAACGTTATTATTCATGAATGTTGATGTTTTATTTAATGCTGTCACTTGAGTATGAACGTTATTTTATGTTCATCCCCTTAAAAATTTAATGTAAGAATTAGAAAAGCACATTGAAGCTCCAAATTTATATCAAAATACAAAAAATAAGATGATGTTTTTTAATTTTCAACAGCTGGCCGACCTATCGAGACCAACATCCAGTTTGGACTCCATCATCTCGAAGACCTCTCTCTTCCTCTGCTGACATTCACCCATCCTGCTGGTGCCACTGTTTTGTTAAACAATTGGTGCAACTATTATTTGTGAAACCATTTCATTCAAATGTGTTTCATTAAAATATATTTGTAAAAGTAAAATTGGGAGAATAAATTGACACATTTTGAAACGAAAGACAAATTTTTGAAGTACAAACACGACAAGTGGATGAATGCTGTCATTGTACAACTTCTCAAACAAATGAAAATCTGAATTGGCTTGTTGAACGACATTGAAGAAATAATACTTTGGCTCAGTTTTTGGTTCTGGAAGTGGAATGGCTGGAAGGGAAAGATTAATTGTGTCTCGAGTTTTATACTTGAAACGACGAGCAGCAATGATTGTTAGTGAATTTAGGCCACATATAAGAACAAAAAATCGTTGCCATGGAAACGACAACACTCCATATCAGCCAAACAACAAACCAACCATTCAATCCTAGTTCAACAGCATAGTTGATGTACTCAACGCACAAGTACTGCACCAACATCTCAAATATCTTAGCTGCATTGTCCGACACATCATTCTTTGATGATAACTTGGTAGATGGAGAAATGGAAATTAAAAAAATAAAAAAAGACAATCTTTGCTAGCACATTCATTATTAAAACAAATCAATTCAGAAAAATGGAAACATATTTCCATTAAGAAAAAGCAATAAACTAACAATTTGACATCTTTTCAGTGCAACCTTGAACTCTTGAAGAATGTTGATAGCGACCTCTTGAGCCAGGAAAGTTTCTCCTCCATAATTCTCAATGCTGATTCCGAGGTTGATGTTTGTACGACTTGTGATGGCTGTCTGAATGTCTCGACGCAGCTCCTGTAGTCTGTTCACGGTCATGCCGTGTCGAGTTTCGTGTTTTCGTTCACAAACGTTATTAGCCAATTGTCCCAGATATTTATTTATATTAAACTCAAAAATATGAAAATTATAAAGTTAACAATGATTGAAGATTAATCTGTGATTCCACACAGACAAGCAAAAAAGATTTAAGGGAACGCATTGAAAAAATACCATGGAATGAGAATGTATATAGAAGCAGTTATGAAAGAAGGTAGAGCGGTAACCCAGAAGACTGAATGTTCTTCTTTTGGTGGTTCTTAGATTCGTAGAACCTGGCCAGGATGGTCTCACACCTGTTCTTCAAGTGCATCTTTTCGTCATTCGTGTACGTGTCCAAGTAAAAGTTGAAGATTGACTTTGTGACCTGTAACATAAAATAATTAGTAAAAATTAATTAACGTTACCTCAATAATCATTATATTCAGTTAGCAGAATAACAACTTTACTGATAACTCAATGAACGCGTGCATTGTTGATGATCATCACTGATATCTTTTGACTGAGTTTATAAAAAAAAGTTTCAGAAATCTTTTAATAAAATAAATAATGCCAACATTGGTTCCATGTACGAAAAACGTTCATTGTTTTTTTGTTTGTTTGTCTCCAACTCAAACAGTTTTTTACATTTTTGTTAATTTTTTTGATTCAATTGAAAACAATGTTTCCTGCTGACTCTGAGTTTTTTCATTCATTAATTTTATGTTTTAAAAAAATGAACAAAGTTGTTAGTAAAAAAAATGAACAAATAAATGAATGAACAACTGAATGAATGAACAACCGATTGAATGAACAAATGAATGAACCAACAAAAACAAACTTTATCAAGAGCAACTGTTCCACTACCATAATTGGCAACAGACAATAAAGATGACAAATTTACTGTTCTGTAATTTTTATTTTTATTAATATGTTAACAAACCAACTGAACCAATTCAAAATAAATTCAAATGCAAAATTATTTTAAGAAATAATGAAAAAAATTTAACCACAATCAACCAGCCAATCAGCCAGCCAACCAACCAACCAACAAATATATAGAGCAACCAATTCATCAAGTAAATAATTTTTTTTCCATCAATAAAAAAAAGAATATCTGTAACCTGCCATAAAGAGAGTGCAGCTCTTTCATATACCTGTCCATATCTGCCTTACTGCTCAGCTGACTAGACAAATATTTCTGCAACAAAATAAAATGAAACATTCATTTGGATTTAAGTCAAATAAGAAATGTCAAAACCATGAAATAAAACACGAGCACCTCTTAGAGATAAAAAACAATTCTGAAACATGCCAGAAAAGAAAATAGAAGAAGCACACACACATCTGCACTATGGCACAGACCTGCAGTTTTCCCTGATAGACATCCAGCATGAACTTATCCATGACACTTTCTGGATGAGCAAAGACTTCAAAGACGGTCTGGTTGACTTTCTCACACAGGGGAGGGACCTTCTCAAAGATTGTTGGATCCATCTTTAGCTCCTATCAACACAACAATCGACAATAATTTAAGAATAGTTAGTTAGAAGGCATGTATAACAAATCATTAATAAATACGTAATCATATATTACAAAATGACATACAAATATATTATATTAATTAATAATCAACAATCAATCTTCGTTTTGCGTCCAGAGACCCGGTTTCCCGAGGTAGGACGTTGTTTTCTTTGCCATCAACTTTTTGCGCCAAATTAGACGATCAGTTGTATCCATTTCATTTAAATTTAGAGCTTTCATGTCTTGCTCGATTGTTTGCGACCAGGACTTCTTTGGACGGCCTTTGGGACGTGTGCCAGGTACTTCAACATCTGCAAGAGAAGTTATGGCACTGTTTCCACTTCGTTTGACATGACCAAACCACCGCAGACGGTGTTGCCGGCATTCGTCCTTTATATCATCTAAACCAGAACGACGCAGGATTTCGGTAGATTTGATGTGGTCCTTCAGACTAATTCGTTGCATCCATCGGAGCATTTTCATGTCAGTTCGTTGAAGTTGTTGTTCCAGTTTGGTTGTCATTGGCCATGTTTCTGCACCATATAACAACACCGGACGTATCACAGATTTATAAAGTCTTGATCGTAGTGGTAGTGGAATGTCACGCCGCATCAATATAGAGGCAAGGAAATGCCATTTATTCCAGGCTGCATGTATGCGTGCTCGAACGGCAGCTTCAGCTGTTCCAGTACAATCCATAACATCCCCTAGATATTGAAACGATGTGACTTTCTCTATTTTAATGGCTTCAAAAACAGTGCTATTTCGAATTTGTTGTTGTGGATTGATGCAAGCAGGACAAACAAAATTAGACACTTTAGATAAAGAAACAATTATTTTTGAACAACGTTTGTGACACCACTGGTTACACTGCTGACACTTGATTGAATTGTTACCTACACCAGCTTTACAAACTGAACAGGGCCATCGTCCAGTAGCTGTGGATTGGATGGGTTCACCAGTGTTCATTGCTTTGGTTTTGCTGATGTTGACTTTGAATCCATGATCGGCGAGTCTGGTGTTCCAATCTTCAAACATCTGTGCTGCATTCTGCTCAGACGTGGCTGTTAAAACGATATCATCAGCATATACTAGATTCCAAATGTCACCAGTGTGTATCGGTTTTGTGATTTCTTCCATCACAGTTATAAATAATATTGGACTGAGAATCGAGCCTTGGTGAACTCCAACGCCGATGTCAAATGCATCTGTGTTTCCAACCGTTGTGCTGACAAGAGTCTTAGTATTCGTATAAATTTCCATCACAAGTCGAACAAGATATTCTGGAATGAGTTGTCGACGTAGACTCCACCTGATTGCTTCATGGGGAACCCGATCAAATGCTTTTTCAAGGTCTACAAAAATGTGTGATAGTTGTTGATGCTTTTCGAGGTACTTCTCTTGCAGTTGCCGAAGGATGTGAATTGCATCAATTGTTGATTTCCCCGCTAGAAAACCAAATTGATAATTTCCGATTGTGAAGCACGACGTTAATCTTCTCTCAATGATTTTCTCGAAAATTTTCAGGGAGTGTTCTAACAGACGTATACCCCGATATGATGAACAGTTCAATGAATCACCTTTGCCTTTGTATAGCGGGACTGTCATGCTATAGTTCCATTCAGTCGGCATTGAGCAATTTCTCCAGATTTCACGGCAAAGTTGTAGTAACGTTTGGATACCTGCAGTACCAGATGCTTTAATTAATAATCAACTGATCAAAAAATAATATTAAACAAATGAAATTAGTCTAAAGAATTTTATGAAACTAATTTATCGAATTTCATACCGCTTGACTTTCTTCAATGAAAATGTTGATGCAATCTGAGTAGCCCTTTAATGAAATAGTTGACAATTATTTGCTAAATATATAAATAATAATCAGTCTGTGGTTATTTAATAAATATTGGATTAAGACTGTCTTAATTCAATATTTATAAAAAAAATAATCAATAAACTGACCAAGAATGACCAAAAAAGGAAAAAAACTTGCTTTGAAGTGAGACAAAGTTTTAAGAATGTTTTTCATTCCCTCAAGGTCGCCGTGGTTGTAAGCTTTCTTGAAGTCATCAATCAAATGACCTTCTATCTCGTTGTACTTGTCTGCGAATGTAAATGTCCTTATAAAGCAATTCTCAATTAAAAACATTAAAATATATAGTTTTGTGTATTCAAACAAGAAACAATCAAAAAAGATTAAAAACGCTAATAAAGTCTGCCTAAAATACTAACTATGAATGCGAGTACTGGCAGCACTGAATCTGAAAAAATAAATATATATGTAAAAACATGCATTTATATTTAAAAATGTAAATACTTCTCTTTAAAAAACGCAATGTAATTAATCAAAAAATATTTTTTATTAAAATTTATAACAATCGATTTAAATAAATTTATAGAAACATGTCAATTGTCATTGATTGCTAAATTTCATCATCAAATAATTTTCATAAAAAATATCAAATGAGATGTAAACTTTCCAGAAGATTAAAATGGGTTTTCAATCGCCGGGACAATGAATACTGAAATGTAGATCAAAAAGATGAAGCAGCATAAAAATTTATTTAATATACAATGGCCAACTTGTCACTTGGAGGAAGTTCTTGGATGATTAAATATAGTTTCTGGATAACATCTGCTGCTGCTTGGATCTTAGAAATATAAAATTTTAAACAAACTTTTTATTTTTTTTTTAAATTATTTGAAAACCAATTTACATTAATGATTTACAAAGAATTATTAAAAAATATATAAGTACAAGCTATTCAAAAACAAAAGTCTAAAAACTTGGAATGGGTCATTGAAAAAGTGTGACAAAGGTTTGTCTGCATCCAGAAACTCTGAAAAGTACTTCATGAGAAGCTGAGCCTCTGCTGCTCTGGTTCTTGGCAAGTTCACTCCTTCCAGCTGGTCTCCCAAGTGAACAACTTTTGTCGCCACAAAATTTATACGTTCATCCAATGCTTTGAAATGATCAAAAGCAGTCTGAATTTTTAAATTAAATATGACAAGTCTATCATGCCCATTAAAAGTATTGAATTCTGAGAATAACAATCGATAAGAAAAAATAAAATCTCCAGCAAAATACTTCTTAATTGCACCTGATTGTGTTTGTGGAGCTGGGCAACTTTTGACCAATGCAGCTTCTCTTCATCTTCACATTTCTTTTCCAACTGAGCTACTTTTGCCATCACAATGCTTCTTTTATCTTTCAAATCTTTTATTGTTTTTTCAAATGTCTGGTACAAAAGCATTGGATCAAAATTTTCTGCTTTTGAGCTACCAACTGTTTTCCATGCCAATCGTTCAACAAACTCTGATGCATCAAAGGGGTCCTGGTTCAATTTAAATAGAAAAATACAACACACATTAATATAAATAAATTGGGAAAAAATGCTGATCCATATGAAAAAAATTAAATAAAGTAATCAGGCCAAGAAAGCAGATTTAGAACATGTTAATTTACCACAATTTTAAACAAATTATTGACATAATAAATTGTCTATTTCAAAAGACAAATAAATTTAATTAAATAAGAAAATCTTTAATCATTAGTTGTTGAAAAAAAAATTCTAAGCATAATTGAGTATATTTTTATTGATGAACAATTCAATTAAACATAAGACATGCTGCATACCAACTAATAAGCTAGAAAATCAGTAAGGTAAGGTAACAAATAAGAGGTTAAGAACTTAAGGTTAACCGTTAATATGATAATAATGGTTAATCCATTAATGTCAATTTTTTAACTTAATTCTTTATGTTATTAATTGTTAATTTAATTTAATGAAATGGCTACAAAGAAAAAATATTATTATTGTTTTAAAATTTTAAATAATTCTATTTTTTATTTTATAATGATAATATAATATAATTTATAATATAAAAAATTTCTTTTATTTATAGTTTTAAATAATCCAATTATTATTTATTGTATTAATAATAGCAGGAAAAATAATAGATTATCATTATATAATATAATTTATAATATAATATTTATAATTATAATAATAATATTTCTAATTTTTTAACCAAATAAAAAATGGACCAGTATTATATTATAATAGTATTATTAATACTAATAGTCTGTTTTTAAATTTTAAATATTTAATTAATTTTTAAATTAAAATTAAATTAAAATATTAATAATTAATTAATTTTAAATATTTAATTTTTAATTTGAATTAAAAAACGAACTTGTTCCATGTCCTGTAAAGCCATTTCTTTGCATTATAAAATAAATCTTTAGCACACAGCAAACGTTAAAAATAAATATCTCAATAAAAAAACAGCCCTAAATTCCAAATAAGCTGGACAATATAAATAAAATAACGTAAAAATAAAATAATCATACGACTAAGAAACAGTTCACTTTTCTTTTTCTGTAAACAAATTATTTTTTTGGAAATTCCAATAGTTATAAATAAGCGGCGGTATTCGGCTGCTCAAAAATTTATATGATCTATGATCTTGTCAACAGACATTTATATATATAGAGTATATTCTATACATATATATAAAATATATATATATATATACATTGCATATATATATATATGTCAATAGATAACCGGTGGAGTTCCCTTTGAATAGGTGAAACATGATCTGACTTTGCTGCCCACACAACAACCCTAACCGCACAATTCTGAACCTACTGAAGCATGGACAAACGCATGTATCACTGACTTAGCAATATGTCACTTTGGAGAGATCTTCGATGATTCTCAAGCCACGGAGTTGAGTCATGGAAGTGCGAAATACACTCTTTATGTGGTCCTGTAGAGTCAAATTCATGTCAAAAATACAGCCCAAGTTAGTAACTTTGGGCAAAAATTGTATGCTCTGGCCATCTATGACAATAAAATCAATTGCAATCCAAGAATGCCATATCCAAATATGCACTTATATAAGACACATAAAATTACATAAATGTAGTGAGAAATGATCGAAAACCAAAGTAAATTAAAATTAAATTTAATGGTCCAAATTTCAAAAAAACAAATAAAATAAATAATGAAAATGAACAAAATAACCAATTATATAGGCTACCAATCAACCAAAATTCATTTTCCAATCAAAACGTGGGGCAAAACGCCACGTGGGGCAAAAAGCACTTTTTCAAATTTCTCCGAATTAATTCAAGTCCGAAAATTTTTAAATTAATTTTTGAAAAATAGAACGCACCCACATTATTTATAATAAAAAACCGCGTGGTATTGAGCTTTGGTTATTTTATTAAAAAAGTTTCAAGAATTTGTAGGTCAAATATCGCTCGTGTTATAATTTTTGTTTTTCGATTTCTTTTAAAATTTGTTAAAATAACATAATTTTTTGTGATTAGGAGTAGTTTGTTGTGAGGAGAAATCATTTTTACATATAGAAAATCAACTTCAAATTGGTTAGAACAATTTTTTGTTAATTAAAATTTAATTTATTCTTCGCGCTCTCTTTTGGGGCAAAACGACTCTTTTACTTTGGGGCAAGAAGGCTAACTTTAATTGTTTTAACTATTTGTCAAGTTTTAGATATTTTCACTTAAGGCAGCCAATAATTGTAATTAAAATTATATTTTTAAAATTTTTTCAAACTTTTGTTTTTGTATAAGTTTTTAAAATTAAATTAAAATTATTTTAATTTTTGAAGATTGAAAATGGTAAGAAATTACATAAGAAAATCCACCAGATGTTCGTCTTATAATGAAGAATCATTGAAAATTGCTGTTGAATCAGTAACGAATGGCATGCCACTAAAAACGGCTGTCAAAAAATATGGGGTCCCTGCAAGAACTTTAAAAAGGCATCAGATGGCCATGACCAAATTTCCTGGAAAAATTAGGCTGGGACATTTTCACTCAATTTTTACAAAGGACCAAGAACTAGAACTAGTAGAAATTATTAAAAGTATGGAAAAATCACTCTTCGGAATGACCACAACAGACATCAGGAAAGTGGCTTTTGAATTTGCCGAAAAAATGAAATTAAGCCATCCATTCAAGGTTGAAATGAAAATGGCAGGGATAGACTGGATGTATGGTTTTTTAAAAAGACATCTAACGCTATCTATTAGAAAGCCGGAAGCGATAAATTTATCACGGTTAGTTGGCTTCAATAAAGAGCAGGTAAAAATATTTTCAGATGAAGATTTTCATCCTTCGAATTTGACAGATGAACCGTTACCATCATCTGCTTTTGATTTGAATTTACATTCAAATTCATTGATTGAAACCATTGAATCAGTGGTTGAAGATGACCCAAACCAATCAATTTCTTCAAAAAGCCTTTTGGAGTCAATTGTTGGACCAATAAAATCATCAACGCCACGAGGTAGAAAAAGAAAATCTGAAAGAGCTACCTTGCTATGTGGCATTTGGCATCATAATGGTTGCCAAGGACTAGAAGAGGATTATAATGACATTTTTATTTGTATTGAGTGTGATGATTAAAATTACAAACAAAACATTAAAATTTTAATAAATTTTATTTTGTCATTTCATTAAAAATAATAAAGCATTTTTTTTCATGCATTTTGTTTCTATTAAAGCTATAACCATTGTAATCACAGCTTGTTTTGTTAATTTCTTAATTTGGGCCTTTTGCCCCAGGTATGGGGCAAGAAGCTCTTTTGATAGACCTCTATAGTTTTCCTCATAAAACACAGAAAGTGTATTTTTGAATAATTTAAATTGTAGAATTAGGTAGTGGACATACCAATCTAGCTAAGGCAACATTAAACTTTAAAAAATGTTCGAGTTGTTGGGTGTGGTCAACCGCCAAACGTTAGAGGTGGCTTTTTGCCCCATGCTACCCTACTTCAAAACCATGGATATATATGTTCAAAACCGATTTTTTAAAAAACATCAATTTTCCTTTTTAATTCATTCACACTTAGCATTCTAACCATTCCAAATTTTTAAAATTCTGTTTGTAAAATAATTTTTTCAGATTAGATTTGAACATTTTACCATCCAACTTCAAATAATGCCCACGCATTCTATCATCGCCATGTAGATTTAATTTTGGAGAACTGCTCTTGTCATCACTTTTCATCATTTTGTACAGGCTATGAAGTCACCTCTTATCCTCCTGAACTTTAGCGTAAATATGTTCAAATGCTTCAAACGATCTTCATATTTTAAATGTTTGCATGCATTTATCATTTTTGTAGGCCTTTTCTTTACCCGTTCCATTGCTAGAACCTTCCTCTTTGTCCATGGCGACAAAACAGGTGCAGCATACTCCAGCTGAGACCGAAGTAGGGATTTCTATAACATTAGAAAAGATAGTGTGTGAGATTTTTGTAGTGTCTGGAAATCAAACCTAAGATTGAAAAGCATAAAATTTTAATAAGCAATCAAACAAAATTCCTTAATAAACCAACTTATTTAAACTAATTGGATGACTCACACTACACTGACAAAGAATTCAAACAGTTCTGCAAGTTAGCAAGTTCTGCAAGTCCTTATCCGACTTTATGACTTCGACGGGGGGATCAAAAATTTGAAAATGTTAAGATTTTGTGGCCAAAAATTAAAGTTAATATTTTTTTGCTCATCACGTCAATATCATATGTCAATTCTTGGTCGCTTTTCTTCATAAAACGGTGCTGTGTCTCTGTGCAAAATTGAATTTTATAGACTTTTATTAAAAAACTGCGAACAACAGGGGTGTCATGACCCCACGGCCGCCTCCCAAATCCTCCCTGACTAGAAAGGTTGTTAAACTTGGGCAGACAAGATGGCCTATATACTGACGAATTAAATTACACATATAAATTGAATTACTAGTCGACATGACGTTTGTGTCATAATGCTAATACTGTTTTGAATGCAGATCTTCCTTACAACAAATTTATAGTGAGAGAAATACGATTACCTGAAGAGAAATATTATTCTAAATATCATTAAACGTTAAACTGATGTAAAAATCATCATTTGGACTAAATTTTTAAAATAATAAAACTAATAACATTTTATTTTGTTATGCATACAGTACATTTGTATTGTTTTTTTTTTATATTATTATGCTTTTATAGCGGGTTAAAAAATTTTTATGAAACAAACTGGTCTCATATAGATGAAGTTGTAATATTTTAAAACACTGAAGTTTTGTATATAGTTCAGTGAAATAAACTGAACTAAAAGTAGAAGTTTTAAAACTAAAAGTTTTTTTTATATCTCCATCATATACTTAGAATACCGCACACCACGCTCTTTAATTACTTGCATTGATCATTCTATCTATCTATCTACCTGAGTTGCTTCATTTTTAAGTTATCAAAGTAAGTTATTGAGAAATCCATTACAAGATCGGTGGAGCAAACATGTGGAGTTAATTAATCGTGGTATCTTGGTAATAAAAATTTTTTTAACAAAGAAATATAAAAATTTAATTGTTTGAATTCTCTATGCTGTGAGTTCGCGCAACACTTGATTAGAAGCTTTTGTTTCGACGCATTTTTCGTTCTTTATTTTCCTTTATTTCCGAGATATTTCGTTGAAAGGCGTCCGTTCACTGTTCGATCGTACAATAAGTAGAAAATTTGTTTAATTTTTGTTCTTATATTTTGTATCAAAAGCAGTTTTATTTTAATTTAAACCGGTTTTGGGTTTTTCAATGCATTGACAATGCTTTGTTTTGTCATTTGTGTAATTTTAATTTAATTTATTAATTAGTAATAAATATTTTTTTAATCGTAATGCTGTATTTTAATAAATAAATTATTTTAATAATAAAATTTAATTCTAATTTATTTAATAACCCTCTTTAATTCTAATAGAAACTACTCTTCTAATGCTAATGCTACTAAGCTAATCTAATCCTAGCTAATCTAATCAAATGGCTAATCCTACCTAATCTAATAATCTTGTTAATCGTTAATAATGCATATTTGATTATAAATTTAATATTCAATTAATATTATTTATTAATTAACTTTTAAATAAATTAATTTAGTTAAGTTAATTTATATATTCTTTTCTTAATGTCAGTTGCTGCCACCACAAAAATGTTTTTGATTTCACTGCGATTGTTTATTTTTTTTTAATTTGCTTTTTCCCAGTTTTATTAATCCAGTCATGTCGACATCTCAGAAGCATAAGAATTTTGTGGCTGAGCCTATGGGAGATAAACCAGTCACTGAATTGGCTGGTATTGGAGAAACACTAGGTGAACGCTTGAGTAATGAAGGGTTTGATAAGGTAATTTGTCTTAGGTTTTTTTAATAATTTCTGAAGTTCAGAGTTAGTTTAATTTTAATTGATATATATTATTAGATTATAAAATAGTTTTTGTAAATAGTATTATTTTAATAATCTATCACAGTGGTGATCTGACAAGTAGGTCAACGTTGATTGCAAATGGTTGTATGCTGTATGTATTTATCCTGTCACATGGCCCTTTGGTGTGTAGAAGATCTTTGATGTAATTGTATATGTGCATATATATACAATTTAGATATATATATATATATATATATATATATATATATAGCAGATGTAAAACAGTTAAATAACAAAAATTTGTGAGAGCTGTGTTAGCGACCATTAAAAACTACATAGCACTTAAAAACATTCCGATTGAACCCTTGGTTGAAATCTTTCCTACCCCAAATTACAACTTTTTGTATTATGAAATAAAATCTCCAATTTGTTATGCTTTTCAATTTGAAACTATCTTTGTAATTAGTTTTTTGTGTGTTATATTCAGCATTTACTTTTGGGGATTAGAGCAAACATAAACAATTATTAAGAAAATTGAATTTTTTTAAAACATTAGCTAAAAACAAATAATGAAAATCAAAGTAAGATGCATGTTATTGGATTATGAATTAATTTTTAAATAATTTACTTTTAAAAACAAATTAGCTTCAGAAAATTTTTCTTTTTTGGCAACTCTTTAGTCTGCTTCAATGCCAAAAACAGGCATTCAACACTCACTTACATGGGAGGAAGTGGTAATCTAACAATGCAGACTTTTTAAAATGACAGTTCTTGTTCAGTGGTTTGAAGGACATTTAAATTGGACTTTCTTTTTTATCTATTTGTTTTTATCGCTTCTTGAAAGTCAATTTTAAAAGTTGAACCTTTATCCATTGAATATGATCTTGGAACATTCTCATGTATCTTGTCTTCTGCTCTGGCTTGATCTGAAAATTATTAAAAATTGTAATTTTCAAAAATGTCATCTGAGTCCACAGATGAATTTTCAGCCAATTCATCATAGAATGATTTTGCATTCAAATCCAAAATCAGAGTTGTGAAAATCGAAAATTTTTGTAATACTTTGTCTTATTTTGTACACATACTGCAAGTTATTTATGCAGTGTTTAATATTGTTCATATTAAATAACACTGTAAAATACAGTAAAACTATTTTTGTGAAAATATTTTATATTTTTAATTTAACACAATGGTCTTTATAAATAAAATTTTATGTTTCGCAGGCGTATGTTGTGTTGGGGCAGTTTTTGGTTCTGAAAAAGTGCGAAGAAGACTTCAAAGATTGGCTGCACGAAATTTGTAAAGCCAACTCAAAACAAGCAAATGATTGCTACACATGTTTAAAAGGATGGTGCGAGGCTTTCTTATAATGCCTATTTCAAGATTTGGCATTAGCTTCAAACAGTTATTTTTTATTTTTCAAATTCCTTCTCATGATTTTACTGACGCTAAATTGATTTTAGCGTTTATATAAGTGAACTGTTTCAGTTGTAAAGCTTATTTATGGCAAATTTGTCTATAGGGAAGTTTTGCTGTCTGCATAATTTTTACTCAGTGAAATTTCGGTTCGCGTTTGATTGTGATTAAAATTTATAGCGCGGTTCCAATTTCTTTAATGGTACTGATTAATAAAAATCAGTTTAAAGCGTTACGTGTATGGCCGAAATGGACACTTCATTGTGATTTCGTTTTCTTTCAAAGCATTTGTTTAAATCGAATTTTAGTCGATCAGGTTGTAACATGAAAAACATTACAGGGCTAAAAATGGTCATGTCACAGAAAATGGAATTTTTTTTTGATTTATTGCTTTAGGTAGAAATATAGGTTACGAAGATCCTATTTAAAAGATTATATGTGTTTACTTATTTTTTCCAATAATTGCCACAGAGGATACGATACTCATGATAATGTTTCAGTCTTTTTAAAATTGTAGTCAGTACAGCAGTAGTAAAAATAGTACAAACAGTAGTAAAAATAGCATCGTTAGCGACGATGAAATATATTTTCTTGTACGTACGAGCCTGTGTTGAACTTTTTTTCATAACTTAATTCTGGCAAACAATTTGGAGTGTATCAAAAAATTATAATCGAGCTAAGAATTCGTGTAGAAGTAGAAATAATATAAACTATAATTAAAGCGGGAAAATGGCAGGTTTTTGAAAGGTTGATCGCTAATAAAATTTAATGAGGTTCTCGTATGTTTTTGGCTAGTTTTGTGTATATAAAAAGTGACGATCTAACTATTCTGAACTGCATATCCAGTCGCTAGGAGATTACTTCCGGATCATACATGCAGAGGGATACACCTGCTTCGAAATAATGGGTTGAGTACAAAAAACGTCAATTCTGGTTTGCCGGCATCGTTTCAGAATATTGAAATAAAAGTACATTAAATTATGTTGTTTAAACACTGATGATTTCTTTACAAAAAATTTAACAAAGATTGTGGAAAGGTTTTTAAAATTTATAGTGTTTAGTAATTATGTGGACGTGAGACGTCTTTACTCTGGGTTGTAAATTATTTTTTTAAATGGCTTATTAATAAAAATTTAAAAAATGCCAACAAGTACATATTAATTAAAAAAGTTGATTGTCACTCACATTTAGTTGAATATCAGTCATAAAGATTCAAACAACATATATTTAATATAATATCCTTAGACAATAAACAAAAAATAAATACTAATCAAATGACAATTTCAGGGATTCAGCCGCACAAGTTACAAATTAAATACAAAAGTTAAGCACAATATCTAACAAGCCATTCACAAAAAATTTAATGTCAGTCACAAGCCGCTAGTAGAAACTAATATAGAATATAACCCAACAAAATTGTAAGATCTGATATATTAATCGGCATTGAATAAAGAAATAATTTATTTCACATTGAAAACTTTTAGAACTGTATATCTCAATAAAATAACATGGAGCCAATCAATTTATACATTTGAAAATTATTGTACAGATCATAAAAATTATACGTTTCTTAATTTTTATCCAATGTAATTTGTTATATATTGGGGTGAAATTATCATACTTCAATCCGCCAAATAGTCTAGCACCCTTGCTTTGTACAGACTGCAACGCTGACGCGCGTTTATTAGAAATAGCATAAAATAAACTATTACAATAAATGAAATTAATTAAATGCATGAACTGTTTTAATTATATTCTCGTCTAAACATATGCATATGAATCGAATGTTTCTTAACTGAAAAGTGCTATGGTTATGATTATTTATATCATCCAACAATGTCAAATTTTCATCAAGCAAAAATCCAAGATTAATCACAGATTTGGAAAAAACAATTTTAGTTCCACCGACGATAAACTTCCTGCATTTCAGCATTTTTAATTGCTGCTGTGTCCCCAACGGTAACGGTACTAATTGAATTTATCTGCATTGGTTGAGTCTTATAGAATTATCTACTACTGACAGGATTGTCTAAATACGGTGTTACAAGGGGTACATCTCGATTATTCTATATATTACTATATATTATTCTAATTATATGGTATAATGCATATACTTATAATATAATGAAGCCGTGTGCTCAAAAGATATTAAAAAAAGTTTGATCTACACATGGATATATATATAATATAGATATGGCAGACGCGTTATATAGATATATATACTTTTAGTTTTATTTTAACCTTAATTAAAAAATAACTTACATTATGGAAATAAAATTTTTGTACCAGTTGTTTTTAACTTTAACATGTTGAGCATATCTATTGAGGTATAACTAGATAAGTATATAAGTTGAGGTATAAAAGTATAATTATTTTATAATGTTATAAGTTGAGATTAGATTATAAGTCTATGAAACGAATACGACAAATAAACCACACCCGGTCAGCTGATTTTCTGAACAAAATGATAATAAACATTGTGACAGAAACAAAGACGGGATCGGAATTAAGAAGAGATCACATGACAATTCGGTCGGCGTAGTATATTTTCTAGTGAGATCCTACCTGATAAATTAGGTTATAGCTATGACTTATGTTATAGACTTGCTGTTTTCTGTTTCTAAATTGCCAACTGACATAGTTCAATTTGAAAATTGAATTTTTAATTGAATTTTTTTTATAAATGCTTCATTGAGTTCATTCAATCTGGTTTTCTATTATTAAATTATTAATAATTAGAAGTTTGAGGTTTTTATAATTTTTCACATCAGTTACTGTTACTGTTACTTACAGTTATGCATTTGGGAAAAAGCCTTCTAGTTTTTGTTCTTCTGACAGTTTTTCTGTCCTGTGGGATAGAATGTAAGAAGCTGTATTTCGACCAATTACGAAAAAATTTATTTTTTAATGACCCAAAAGAGCCTGTCGAAAATTCAGCAGCTTCTACCCATTGGGTTCTTTTAGTGGCAGGTTCAAATGGTTGGGACAACTATCGACATCAGGTACTTATAGATAGTGATTATCATATTATATAGTTACATTAATTAATTAATTAATAACCATCAAAATAACTACTTACTATTCTATCACATAATTATATAATATATATTATATAATATTATATTAGTTATTGAATATCTCGGTTGATATATAATATATATATATGATATATTGAAATGTTGATATATAATTGAAAGCTTAACTGATGGAGAAAATGTTTTTTAGGCTGATGTCAGTCATGCGTATCAAGTAGTTCGAAAACATGGCATTCCTGAGGAAAATATAATCACCATGATGTATGATGACATCGCTGATAACAGAGAGTTAGTTCTTAGCAAATGATTTTCATCATTACAGATTTTTAGAATTGTGATAATTTCTTTTTTTATTTTCAAAAGAAACCCAACAAAAGGCAAGATCATAAATCATCCCCATGGCCCAGATGTTTACAAAGGAGTGGTTGTTGATTATAAAAAACATGTTGGTTATTTTTATGACTTTTTGTGGAATTAGTTGTTGAATTAATTTTTATGAATTTGAATTAAAGGATGTGACTCCAGAAAATTTCTTAGCTGTTTTAAGAGGAGATGAAGAAAAAATGAAGCATATTGGTTCTGGAAAAGTTATCAAGAGGTTTTTAAGCATTCAAACTCAGTTATACTTATAAAAAAAAATTAATTTAAACAGTTTGATAGTTTCTGTTATTTCAAATTGAATATTTAGTTTAATTTTTTTGTTAAACAATGACTCACTCAACAGTGGCCCAAATGATCATATATTTGTCAACTTTGTGGACCACGGAGCTCCAGGTCTCCTGGCATTTCCTTCTTCACAGGTACACCATCTAGAAAACAATTAAAATTTATTTTTTGTGTCAAATGAAAATCCATTTTTTTTATCGTTTTAAAATTGATTGATGATTTGCATTGATTTTTTGAAAAATTAATGCTTTACAGCTGTATGCAAAAGATTTCATTCAGACGATTAAATCTATGCATTCTAAGAATCAGTACAACGAAGTTTGTAATTAATTTTTTGTAAATTATTTAAATTTCATCTTAAGAGATTACTTTTGATGGCTATGTTTTGCAAATGTTTTAGCAAATGCTATCACTGCTGTTAAAATGTTATATCTTGCCTGCTGACATTTTGGTAACGTTTGCTAGACTGTTAAGTGGAACAAGTACCCATTTATGCAGTAAACTCAAGTTTGCAGTTTCCAATGGATGCTGAAATTATTTTTAGTTCTTTCTGCTTTCAATTTCACCGAATCTTTTTCTTGATCTTTTACTTTCAATCCCGTCCTTATAGTTCCACATTTTTCCACACAATCCATTTTTCAACCTACTAAGCCACCTTGCCTACTTTGTTTCACCACATCTTAGAATATTTTCTCGTCAACTAGCTTTCGTAATGTTTTGTAAAACAGTCTTTAGACTTTTATTAGTTTCATACTTATTTTCACAGGCTACATTTTTCATATGAAACCAAATTTTTTATGAATAAATTTTTGCAGATGGTGATTTACATTGAAGCATGTGAGTCAGGGTCCATGTTTGAAAACCTTTTGCCCAGCAACATCAGTGGTGATTAATAATTTGTCATTTTTTGACTTCTTTCTTACACAAAAATTATTTTGAATTTTTTAGTTATTCTTGTTTAATGTTTGACATCAATCAGTAATTTTTTATTGCCAGCAAGGTGTAATCCATTTACTTTACTCTGTATCATTATGTAATACATCCTTGCACTGTACTTTCATCTATTCAGTTTATGCAACGACTGCAGCCAATGCATTTGAATCATCATATGCCTGCTACTACGATGACGAAAGACAAACTTATCTCGGCGACCTGTACAGTGTCAATTGGATGGAAGATTCAGATTCTGTGAGTTGTATGAAGATGATTCATTATTCATTCATTCAATCGATACTTTCAATGCTTTGCATATCAAAGAATTATTTTTTTTACAAATCTAAATAAACTTGTCAACATTTTTATGTAATGTCTTTAAGAAATAAAAAAAATCCGGATGTTTCATGGCATTCGTTCATCTTGAATTTACATTAAAGATTTAATTTTTATATTTGATATTTATTTATTTATTTATATAATAGCAATAATAATAATAATAATAATAATAATAATAATAATAATAATAATGTCAAGATTTAGTATCTTCATTCAGCTGTTATTAAATTGATTTGCCATCATATTTCACGCTTCCTGAATGAAAATATTATTTTTGCAAAGTTTGCTAGCCAGTCTGTTGAAGTGCTCTGATTACTGATTACTACTACTTCCTTTAATACTGCAGTGAAGTTATATGGTTTTGATGCAAACTCGCAGTTATTTCTAACATGAAAAATTATCAAGTTATTTACGAAATTAAATGTAATGTATGGTTGATATTGATATCGTTGTTCAGGAGTATTTGAATATGGAGACCATCCATAAGCAGTATTTGGTTGTCAAGAAAGACACGAACACGAGTCACGTGCAAGAATTTGGAGAACCAGTATGCTTTATTTATATTATTAACTAATTTTTAGTCTTGCAACTTGTACATCTTTCAATTTTCCATCTAGAAAATCAGTCGACAGAGTCTTGATAACTTCCAAGGCGAACCTGGATACGATGTCGATCCTCGCCCCAATATGCAAGCCATTAAGGTCTGTGAACGACTCCACCATTTTAAGCGTTTTATTTTATTTTTTTTTAAATTTACGTTTGCAGCATCAATCCTAGTTTTTATAATCGTTATTTAGTTTGTTATCACTTGATATGGCTTGATACAGTTATTGTTAATTATAGTTTGATGCAGTTCCTTCTGAAGATGTACCGCTGGCGATACTGTACAACAGACTCGATAACACCAACAATCCAAGTGAACAACAAATTTTAAAAGATAAAGTCAAAGCCCTGATTAAGGTTGCTTGATCTGCAAATTACAAAATTTTTAGTTTTTAATAATGAGTACACATCATAATCATGGAAGAAAATTTACGGCATTATCTTTATTTTGTAAGAGCAACAGAGATGAATTTACCAGTACATTCTCTCTTAGTGGTATTAAAAATAAAATTGTACACACACACTCACTCACACAGAGCGCGTGTGTATTTACGAATGAATTCACGCATCACAAACATTGCATGTGATCGGCTTGGATCTTTTTGTGTTGTAATCTTATCACTGCAAAAATACGACCAGGCATCTTATCTTAATCATTACATCGTCTCCCACCAATATCGTCCAGTATGTTAAAAATTGTCTAAGGATAGAATTAGTCTGTCTTTAATCAATATGCCAATTTATGTGATGGGGTGAGTTTGCTAAGATTTCTACCACACCACACTCTAAGCAGGAATCTATCTTATCTTCAAATTTTTTAATAAATGGATAAAGTTATGTGGTTATTGTGCTCGAACTTTTAATAGGAAAAAGACGAAGTAGAAGATTTGATGAAGAGAATAGTGAGAAGAGTGAGCATGATGTCGAACAGACATTTTGCTGGGCTGATGGGTGCCAGTCATCCTCTTACTGACCACGACTGCTACAGGACTGCCGTAGACGTTTACGATCAACATTGCTACGACATCAGTCAGGTTTGGCAGATTTGATTTTATTTCGCAATTTATATTTAGATAATTTTTTTCAAAATCTGTATTTGTTTGAACTTCGTATGAAAATTATCTTATTGACTTTATAAACTTATTAAACAATACCAGAATGGCTATGCTAGAAAATCGTTGAGAAAGTTGGTGAACATGTGTGAAGAGAACATCTCTCCTGTTGTTATTGTGAATGCGATCACGAAAGCGTGCAAGAACTAATTTTTACTAGAGTTTTAAGATGATTTCATTTCATGTACCACGTAAGTTGTTAATCAAAACACGATCATCATGTTTGTACTTTTGATTATAATTGAAATTTTAAGATGTACATTTATATTTGTTTATAAATCTTCTTTAATCAGTTTATTCATTGACAGTTTAAATTGTGACGTGCGGATTTCACGCAGTTTTTAAACTTTAATAATAAAACCGTAGTTATTGTTGTAACCGGAGAGAATATTTCTAAATACAATTTCGAGTCTGTTAATACGATTAGTGTTAAGGCTTGGATTTTTTGAGCACTGTTGACTGTACGGCTATGGAAAATATGGTTGATTTATTCATTAGGCGATAATTTGTCAGAATGTAGTAAATGTTTGGATTGGTTTTACGATAATTAAAACACTTTTTCAAAAAGTTGTAACGTTAAGTAAGCATGTGGTGTAGCTTTTCTATTGATATCACATTGCTAATGTCGTCTACGTAATACTGATTGGTTGCTTCGAATTAAAGATCTATTTTTTCATAACGTTTTTAATGTTTATTTGCGGTGAGATTGCTTCAGCTTCAGGTGGAATCAGCAAACTTAAACACACTTGACCAGGGAAGGCGGCCTTCAGATTCAGAAGTAGTCACGCTACTTGTTGAGGATATTTAATCGTACAATCGTAAAAACAGTGCAACCATATTTTATATTCTCATTAATGCAAAAAAACAGATCAATCAATCAATTAGTTTATAAAGCGCTATTTCCGAATTGTTCAACGGCGTTCATCGTAAGTGATGGAGAAGTAGTCAGAAGCAATGCACATTTTTCATGAGTGCTGTTGATATGATAGGAGAACTCATGTATATTCACCTGCGCTGAATTATTCAAACCTCTGAAAGGAGATTATGGCGAAGCTAATATTTTTATTTTCCATTTTGGCTTGCCAAACCTGTTTACTGTTTGCCCGTTTGGTATTTCAGTATTTATGGATGTTTGACAACTGTTTTTTCAATGCAGTTTTAATGAGTACTAGAAAACAATACCATTACAAAATTTCATGGAGACAACGTGACAAGTCTGCATTTAGCGAGTTGATTTTTTTTATTTTTGAGAAAAAAATATTGAAACTTGAAAAAAGAACAAAAAACAAATCAAAAATTTCCAAATTTGTTTCAAATTTTCATGATTTTCTTTTGTTAATATGTTAATATCAATCTTCAATATCGACTTTTTTATTTTGTATGTTTTTTGGATAACGAAAATTGATGTTTTAAGTCAAAACTAACCTCCATCTGTAGGCTCTATCTTAGCTGCTATCACTTCCCTGCCTTTTGGCTAAGAAGTATATCGCACAAAGATTGTCCGTGTTGTAAGTTCTTTGGTAAAGACAGCTTTCTAAATATACTATAGGCGACTATAACTATATTTCATCATACAATTACACGAAAATTAATTGAATGGGATTTTTTGAAATTATAGGTAAATACTTTTGTTGGGTGACTTCAAGAATCCAGAATACAGGTAAATACAATAAGTTTGATATCGCAATCGAATAAACAAATTATACTTTTCAAAAACATCTGACGTCATTTTTATTCGTAAACGAAACATAGAATATAATATTGTTGATATGCATATACTTCTTAATCAAAAAATCTTTGTTCTGAAAATTGTTTTCAAATTAAAAGTTAACTCGATTCTTTAAAGTTTAGAGAGAAATGTTTTTGAAGACTTCGCGATGTTTAGCAAAGTTTAAAGGTTTGCGGAGTTTTGGAATAAAATCGGCTGATCAAATTGTATCAAGAAAGGACTTAAGTGTTAAAAAAGCTGAGAACAATTGCATGAAAAAGGATCAGGAAATAACAGCAGAGGAGTTGTTCATGAAGAGGTCTTCGGATGGTTGGATGAACACTTTCGGCACGTTATCATCATCAACTTCAATCAACAAACGTGACGACAAATTAGATGAGAAAATGTTAGTTCTGTAGGTTTGGTGAATAACATGACAGTATTTCTACTACTAACTATACTAACTACTTTATAATACTATAATATACTATACACTTATACTAATCCTACAAAAAAAACTCTAATCCTCCTAATGACCTAATGAATGCTACTCTTTTTATGCTACTAAAGTAAAAACTAAATTTACTCTACACTTACTCTCATGGTCACATCTAAATAAATTCTTCTCTAAAAGCAAAAGCTGTCCTATCTTTATCCTTATTAAGGCTTAGCTATGTTTTTTTAATGATTCATTATAAATATTATAAAATTTAATTTTCAAATTAAAACTAAACTTTTAAAAAGATAAGCATTCAAAACTTAATACATAGAACTTTGACATGATTAAAAATATTTAAAATTTGATCTGCAACTATAATTTTATAATTTTAATTTAATATTTTATAATTATAATTTGGTTATTTAGTTAATTTTTTTTATTTAGTTAATTTATTTATTAATTGGTTTTCAGGGGTCACTTTTTGAAATATTGGAAAAGCTCTTTACATTTGTTTTTTTTTCAATTATAAAAACTGAAGAAAGTGGATTGCTAATTTTACATAAACAAACATTATTTATTAAAGTCCTAATTACAATTACTCCAAATGAACATGAAGATGACAGTTATTTAGAACCATTGTCGTAAAAAAATTTTACTACTTCTATCATTTTCAAAAATTTAGTTTAAATTTCAATTTAAGAGTTAAATTGAAGTTTTTACAAAAAACTTTCATTTTATTATTCAGCACTATTGTCATAGACAGCATATGCATTTGTAGGTAGGTGTACAAACTGCATGCATATTTATTGTACTACACATGTTGTCATGCATTCATGAAACTCATTATAGAGTCCTCTTTTAAACATTCAGATTTAAAGATGATGAGGATGAATCAGATGAATCTGAGTTTCCTTACCGGAGACTAGACTCAAAATTTAGGAAACATGAACCAGACTGGTATGGGAAGAAAATTGAAAAACTTGGAAAAGAAGGAATGGTTGCAAAGCATTTTATTTTTCAATAATAAATTTTGTTAATTTCATCCTAATAATAATTTGCGTTAGTTTATAATTTTATTTAATAGTTTTAATTGATGAATGTATGCAGGTATACGAGGCATTGCAAGTATTGGAGAAAGAGATGTTGGTTGATGATCGAGTGAGACCAAATGCTTATGTCTTTAATACTCTCATTGGCATTCTTGGCAGAGTAGGGTATACAAAAAAAGCATTCCAGCTTTTTAACAGAGTCAGTTAAGAGTTTATTATTCTCTATTAGAGATTTTTTTTTTTTTATGAAATAACAAAATTAGCACAAATAATTTATTTTTTTAATAACTGTATAAATTAATTAAGATAAAACAATTGTTTATTTATGTAATATTTCTTAAAATGACAAATAATTTATTTAACCTTGCAAATATTTTTCATGAAGATGAAAAAGTTTGGGATTCGTGCGGATGACCCGACATACACAGGCTTGTTCAACAGTTGCAGCAACTCACCTAGTAAAGAGGATGGCAAGAAGAGAGCTGACAACTTGAGGATGCTTATGAAGAAGCAGGATGTCCAGGTCAACATCATCACATACAGAGCCATGATCAAGGTCATTTTTTGTGTTTTTTAATCATGCATTTCATTGTTTTATATTTGCTAATGTTTATAAAAATTTTAAACTTTCTAAGTTTCCTCTTTTTGTGTATGCCATCATTGTTCTATATTGGTTTTAAGTATGAAAATAAGATCATTCTTATGTACCTTTACTATGGTGACTTCATTTTATACAATAATAAAAGTTAGGGTCTCCAAGATATGCTTTGATAAAAATCAAATGTATAAAATTTTTATTTTTTAGTTATTGAATTTAGAGAGTTTTTTGATAAAAGTTTTACATAATATGATATTTAAATCTTCCAGCAGTGTTTTAAGTTAACGCTTTGTTACTTTTAGATATATTGATCTTTGTTGAACATGCCACTCACTGCATTGCACAGGCCTACGCTCGTTTGAATGACTTGAAGACGGCATTTGTTCTGGCTGATGAGGCCTTAAGTGAGAGGCATGCTTTGTCCAGTGACACATTCAACTTCCTCATGATGGCGTGCATTTCCGACAGGGAGGCTGGCTTTGGACTCTGCATCAAAGTAATTTATTGAGCAACTCATTTCTTTCTCATTATCATTACATTACCTTGCTGAAATTTTGTTAAATTATTCATGTAGTAAATGTGCGGAAATGGTTTAAATATATTATTTTGTTAATCTCCAAAATGTAAAAAGTTGTGGAGGATGATGAGAAAGAAGCGACTGAAGTTCAGCACATACAACTACAACCTGCTTCTTCGAGCTGCTCGTGACTGTAATATCGGCAACAAGTTCATTTGTGAGGATCTCTTTGATAACTCGTGCTCTAGTAACTCCAATTTTTCAGCAGATAAATTTTTAAAACTTTCGTCCGAAAATGTTTCAACCAGTGACAACAAAGCAGCAAGCAATGCAGTTGATTATCTTCCTCTTACATCAAACACTCCAGAAGAGAAATATTTATATGATTTTAACGAACTCAACACTAACGTTAATCTTGAACCAACTGGTTCTTTAAGTTTGAAACATAGTGTTGAACATAATGCGTTAGAGCCAGTTAAAAATGTTTTTAATCCAGTTCCTAACATTTTGAATCCAAGTTTTGTAAAAAATGCCTCGCTATTTTCAATTGATGATAGCAAGTTAGTGTCAGCAAGTGATCGGCTGGCGCTTCTTGGAGGGGTTCAAGGAATGTTGAGTCATTTTAAGAAGGATGGGTGCCAACCAAACATCAAAACCTTTGCATTCTTCTTAGATATGATTCCTTCATCTAAAGAAAGTGATGATGAATTGTTGAGGTGCATGCAGGAGAACAGCCTTAAACCTGATTTGTCTTTCTGCAATGCCCTCATCAGGAAGAAAAATTTGAGAGGGGAGTTCAAAGATGCCAAGGTAATCATGTGGAAAGGAATGTTGCTCACCATTTTAAAACGTTGTGCATTTCGTAGTGTTCATTTTATTAAATATTTTCAAAAATGTATCAAGTTTGTCCAATTTTTTTAAATGAATAGAATGTTCTGAATCTGATGACCACCTATGACCTTCAACCCGATTTGAAAACGTTTGGTTGCTTGGCAATGGGATGTTCCAGTGAAACTAGAGGAAAGAAGCTTTTAGAAAGCATGATGGTGTATATATTGTTTATTTTATATCATAGTTGACAATTCTGATAGCTGACTTTAATCTTTATACATTTAATATACTATTTTTATGATTTAATGTTATATTTTCCATCGATTTCGCAATTGTAAAAAATAAGAACATTTTAATTAAAAATATAAACTATTTCTGTTTAACTTTTTTCTCTCTTTTAGGATTTAAAAATGGTGCCAAACGTTGAAATATGTGACATCCTTTTGTATCAATCAAAATTGAACTTCAGATACAAATTAAAAATTCTTCAATTCATGAAAGAAAATCAAATAAGACCGACTACCAAATTTTTAGAAAGGCTGGACAAAGGGGTTGAAATTGCCAAATCATACATTTTGGATCACGTCAGTTCATCATATTTAAACTTAAATTATTTGAATTGTGCTTTTCTACGAAATGTTAATTTAAATGATTTGCTTGGCTGCAGGAAAATTAATTTTTCATTATTCTCTATCTGATTTATGCCATGGCTGTTGTATAGCGCTTTTTAATGCATTAAATCGAAAATGAATCTAAAATGTTTGAGTATCTTTAAAATTTCAATTTTATCTCTCAGATTTGAACACTTATTTTCGATTGTTTCTATCACAAACGACAACGGCATTAATGTTTCTTTTTTAATCTTCACATTAGGAGAAACGACGTCTTCAAACAAACGACAACGAGGATTTTGACCTGGAGAAATTTGAAAACTTGAAGGAACGTTTTGAGAAATTCATTTTAAATTACAAATCCTGGTTGAGGTCAATGCCTCTTGAACCACAAGTGCACCCGTGGTCTCCTTACGATCAGCCAACTCCAAAAATAATCGATGTTTAAATTAAATGAACGCTTGTTTAAACATTTTTAATTGATCGTTTATTCTATTCACAATTTTCCATCGGCTGTTTACTTAAAATTATATGATGAAATTGTTTTCATCATGGGTTAGTTCGTGTACTCGTCAATCTTTCAACCTATTATACCTAAACAAGCTTAGAAACCGTTTTTGTTTCCGTTTAAAATCTTCATGCAGGTTGGCGCGGTTACACTTGGTCACAATCCACACTTGCGTTTTCAGTTTAGTTTTCACTTTCAAAATCTTCGAGTTGATTTTTAATAAGGCGGGTACACTCGCCATTCGAAACGAACTCAATCGCGCTAGATATTTTCAAAATGTTTTATGCGAATCTGAAATAATTTCTTTATGAGAACGTTTGAAGCCCGAAAAGTGCGATGCCGTTTCGCGTATCGTATATACATCAAAAATTCAAGATGTCTCGGTGCTTCCAGATGGCCTTAAACGCTCTTATCTTGTTTTGTACAGGTGCGCACTAATTTTTTATGAAACAATGCTTTTTATCTTCTTATACGCAGGTTGAATAACTGCACAACTCACACATGAATGTATTTAAAGGTGAACATTCATATTTAGTGCAGGTTAGAGACGTGCTGTGTGTTTGTTAAGGTAGGTTGTGTTGATTTACTGTAATTGAGGATTTAACCTAATTTCAGAAAAATAACAATTTTTGAACAATTAATCTTAAAAAATAATTTCGGCCAATTGAATTCAAGGGCCGTGGAAAAATCAGATGCAAACGCGGGAAGTGACAGAAATGCGCCATGAAAATAGAACGCGGTTCGTTCACAGTGGCGAATCGTTAAATGCACAAAATCCGAAACTGCGAAATGATAAGTGACCAGAGACATTTCAAGAGTACACTTATGCAATTTCCCGAAGAAATTAGTTTGAAAAAAACGTCTATTTAACACGTCTATTTTTCTCACTGATGTTTGTCCGTGACTTGAAGGATGCGTTGAACTTAACTGGTTATCAAACATGCAGCAGGCACATAAATGTACAATATTTTGTGGCTGACCGGTGCGATACAGAGAATTTAAAAACAACTCACTAAACTCATAGAAAATCTCTGTGAACGAATGCACGTGAGATAGCGTTTTGGTTTGTGCGTGTGTTAGTGCGCCAGAGGAATGGAAACTATTTGAAAGAAATGAAAGAAGACGACATGTGTGAAAGAAGACGACATGTGTTTGCTCTACTCTCTTCGCGAGAGAGTCCTTATTAGTTGTTCAATGCTTTGAAAGTTTGAAATCAGACAATGCACGAGACTTGATTTTATATTTTCATTGCCAAACAATAAGCCGCTCGTTGACACGGTGAGATGAGATGATGATGATGACGACTGTGTCTGTCATGATGATGGTGATGATGGTGATGATGGAAATAAAAGGTAATGACAGGATGCAATGATGGAAAGAGTTTGCGGATGATGATAAGAAGGATGGTGAAATTAAAAGTTGATGATGCTAATGATAATATTAGATAAAAAGGTGATGATAAAAAGAGGGATGAAAGTTTATAATGATGAAGCCGATGATGATGGCGAAGTGGGAACAGAAGAATGCTGGGAAGATTATGAGCAGATAAGGACAAAGAAATTCATTTAAAAAGACAAGTCTGGAATATATATAAAACGGAAAATATTAAATTTTCCAAAATTTTTTGAAGTAACAAATTGCTTTCATTTCGCCGGGAGTTCAGAGGCGACCGTTGTGTTCAAATTGTACTTTTTGTGTCTTTGAAGAAATAAATAAATAAAATGGAGGATACTAATAAAAATGATAATAAAAATAATAATACACCATTACTACTGTTACTACCACCCCCACAACTACTACTACTACTACCGTTTTTATTACGACGACTACTACTACTACTACTATTACTACCACTATTACCACTACTGTTACAACGACTACTACTAATACTACTACTACTACTACTACTACTACTACTACTATTACCATTACTCTCTAATCTAATAGTATTAATTTAATATGCAAGATACAGTGTTACAAACATTATAGTATCAAACATCGGTCACCGTGCAGATTACACATGAGAAAGACATAAAAATAAATGAAATCATTTAGAAAAGATCGCACTGTCTATTCTTTACCCGGTTAATTGATGCTACAGATGCACTGGTAATATCTAACTCATTATTTTATTATATTTCCATTGTGCACACACACGCAAACACACACACAAAACAAACACACGCAAACACACACACACACACGTGTGATAAAAATATATTTACACAAATTTACTTTCATACTAATAAAAATATTATTTACAGTGCGCGTTTTAAAAAAAGCACAGTATGTGAGCATAAATCAACGCACTGATTAATGTACTAAAATAATATAATATGAATAAAACACTGGCGTTATTTAATGCGTTAATATGAGCATCAATAAATTACTTATCAAGTAAATAAATATGTGTACGTTAACTTGTACACAATGTTATTAAAAAGGCTTGCATACACAAATGAATAATATATATATATATATATATATATATATATATATATATATATATACAATGTATACGTATGTTATTGTATATAACACGAATATTAAAATATGAGACGTATTTGTATACATTTCCCCCCAAACGTCTTCATTGTTATCACGATCCTCAGTATACGTGCATGCATATGTATCTTATGCCACGAGCTCGTATATGCATTAATTCATCACATGCAAGTATGCATGTATATTTTGTGTAATGTATACTTTTGTAAAAGTGAATACAACATAAAAATCATGATCTTCACATTAATGTTTTGTAACGCCTTATGTACATTACATTTTAAGATATACGCTCACTTTTATATGTAATACGTACATATATACCACTCGTTTAAATCAAATATATTTTTGGTGTTTTACAAGCGAGGAACGTAATATACCAGGTACACACACACATACACACACACACACACACACACACACACACACACACACACACACACACACACACACACACACATATATATATATATATATATAATGTATATATTCATAGATTTATGTGTATCTGTATTTTAATATATATAAAACACAATATGCCTATACATTTAATATATCATATATGTAAAAAATATATATAAATATATTATATATATATACATATATATGTAATAAATATACACATGTAATGTATAGGTACTCGCATGTATATAACGCTTTGACTGTTTTTTGAAGCCGATGAACAAACGAAGAGTTGTTGGCTTGCTAGGTTCGAGGAGGTTTCGTCACTCTGGTCACTTTTTAAGGTCCAACTTTTCTGGACCAGATCGACAGCTTCACCATATCATCATCATCACATCATCATTATCATCACCATCATCATCATCAGTCGTGCTGTTTTTTTATCATTGATTTGTTGTAACTGTAACAACTGTTTTGACCATTCGTTGTCACCCTATTAAATATTAGCAACTGTCATCCAATAACTCAGTCGGATGGATAGATAGATAGATAGATAATTAATTTGTTTATGACTCTTAATGGTTATATTCGTCAATTATAATAATTAACTAATAACAAGCTGTTTGTCGTTTCTTTATGGTAACTCTTTTATTTATTACTAGGTGTATGTGTATGTATGTATGTATATTTTGTTCTCTTGCTAGAGGTTACGATAAAACATTTTTGTATTAAAATATTTTCTATCTAATCTGGATATACAAATACTTGGCTTGTTAAACTAAATAAGTCATCATCGACAGCACACAAAATACACACACACATATACACATTATATACGATAAACAATAAATGCCCTCTTGCATGTCGGATTAATGAAGATCTGTTTGAAGAGCATCAAAGAATAAAAAATTTCAAGCCAGGGTTTGATAGAATCAATAGAAGATAAGATCGAAGAAGATAAAAGAACGTCCATACGACGACATGCCACAAGCAAGTTCGGTGGCCAGCGACGACCTAGCGTCAACTGACGAGATCAAAGTTTACAAAGACGAGGGGGAGGGAGAGGATGAGAAGAGGTCGGAAAATTTGAATGAAGAAAAGATGGGATTGCTGACTGAAACAGAAGAGGTCAGTTTGATTGTTTGATATTTTTTTTTTCATTTTTCCATTTTTATTTATTTGTCGGCGATGTTGTCCTTGGTGTGTTGTTTTTGATGTCTGTGATTGTGTGGTGTTGTGTTGTTATTTTGAGGCTGTGTTGTACATGATTTTGTGTTGTGCACGTCGATGTTGTTCTTTTGTTGATCTGCGGTTGATTTCGGGGCTGGATTGTTTGCCATTGATGTGGTTTTGAAGGCTGTCTCTCCTCCATATCACAGTCATGAATGATGTTAAAACGTTGTAGAGGTTCGGTTAAACGTTGTTTACAATATTTTATGGCGAAGCTCATGTTTGTAATTTATTTTATTTATCCTTTATATATATATGTATTTTGATACATATCTCCCACTATACCTAATATCAGTAACTTTCAATACAACATTTTTGTAATTTTTGTGATACTTGTGATGCTTCTGTCAGAAATATTTATTTGGTTTTTCATTCGAATTTAATTTTCATTCATTTGTGTTAAATTTTGACGTGTTTGCGCAGAAATGTTGATGGATGTTAGTTGAAAATTGAAATATCGATATTTATTATGTTAATTAGATGAATTTTTTTTAAAAAGATGATGATTGTTGCGATTGTGCTTGGCTACCGCTGCAACTGTTTCTATTGGTTGCTGTTGTTAGTTGTTGTTCACGTAGTTTGTGTGAAAACAATTTTCACAAATCGAATTCTTATAAATGAAATGATAAATTGCATGTTTGTGCTTTTGTTGATAACAATCATTTTAATAATATATCGTTTATCCATCTGTTTTCAATTGTTTATTTGTCAACACGTATCTGATTATAATGTGCTAATTTCAAGCCACGCTGAACATCCAGCCTCTCTCCATCCAGATATCCAAACAGATATTTGCAAAGTAAATTCTATTTTGTATCTCATTTTATACATTCTGAGATTTTATGACCTCAATAAGTCAAACATATTTCTAATTAATTCTAATAAGTTCTACTCATCGCATACATAGATTACAATGCCTTCATGATCAGAAGGTTTTTGGAGTTTTGTAAAGGGAATTTAAAAAAAAAGCGGATCAAAAATTGTATTCATACCTTTTAGCAATTTTTTATTTAAAAAGGAATGTTTTTGAGTTAACGTGCTTTATTATTTTTATTGGCTCCGACTACCCACTTGATGCATCTTTGAACATTTTGAATTTTCCCCGTTGTTTCAACTTTTAATGCCAACCCATTCACATAACCTGCAAAACCACTTTTCATACACTTGAACTAAATACGTTGACTTGAAATAGCTCACATACTTTTTTAATTTGTCAACATTATTTTGAGGAAGAGTCTTTCAATATCAACTTATAAAAGTTATTTCATGAAGTTTCTGCATAAACGCAAAAATTGTGTGAAGCACAAGCGACCAACGGCGAACGCCACACCATGCCACACCACATTTGGCGATTAATTGGATGATTTATGTTCATCATTCAGCTGCTGAGGTTGGATAGGAAGGCATTTTCATTAATCTTCCTTCTTCTCACTTTTTTCTTTTTTGTCCCATTTTCATAATTAAGCCGTCATGTCGTAATGAAAACGTACCATTTCAAAAGTACATTTGCACTTGTCACGGCACATAAACTTGCTTGCAGCTAGCAAATTTTAAACGCTTTGAAATGATGTTAAAAAATTAACAAACAAGCAGTTTTATTGAGAAAAACAAACTTCAAACGTTTTTTTAGACGCACACACACACGCACACACATGTATTATCGTATATACTACACTTACTCACACACATACACACAACATTCATACACAATCTACATACACAACGTCACATACATTACATGTGTGCCATTGTAGCACATCATATAACATCACATAAACAGCAACACAACTCCAACATCACGCAAGGCACTGCACAGACAACAACACAAACTGCTACACGACACACACCGAATACACAACAACACAACTCTGCCGTCATACTTCACAGAAAAAACACAATACATCCACATGCATCACAACAAATATAACACTCACGTACATCCATCATGACAACCATATCACACAAGCACACATCTCACAAGCATACACACCATACTCCAACTCACACGCAAACACACACACACGCACACACGCAAACACACACACAGGGTAAATCTTCGGACATCGAAAGTCAAGTATGTTTCTCCCCAGATGACAAAAATAATATATTCAACTCGTCAGGAGGTTGGTTCTCTCACTTGATCCATTTCAATCTTTACCATAAAAATATGTCAAATATTTAATTAATATCTTTAAAATATTTTAAATTATCTCTTCGTATGTCGTTATAAGTATATATTAAATCAACGTACAGCACATAGATTAAATTTTCTATCTGACGTTGTTTAAGTCAAATCTATCATTCAGTTTGTCACATTTTTTAACATTGCATGGCTTTATTTATGTGTCATACATGTGCTACATTATATAAGACCTTGTATAATTTTTTTTTGAAAATTATTTACATTCTATTAGTGCCGTCAAGTGAAATCACTGATGCCTTTTTGAAAATTTTCAATTAATTCACCATCCCAAATGAACTTTTTTGATAAATACCTACTGAACTTTACAGTGAAGATGCCAGGGTTTTTTTTCAGAGACCACATCCCCTTCGGTTACCCATTCCTGCCGCCCTACCCCTACCCAACATCATCCCCACTCAACTCCACGGTTAGTCAAAAATGAATTTTTTGCTCAGCAGTTTCTTATTCAGTAATTTATTATTTGATTGACTGTCAGTCAAACGTTTTGCGAATTAAATTTTCTAGCTACTACTCATTTCTGCTTTTTTAATTTTTTAAATTATTTTTAATTTTTTCACTCTTGAAATTGTGGCACCGCATCCACTAACAACAAGATCGTATTTATTGAAGTCGTTGTTTAAAAATAAATTCACACAAGACATGCGCAAACGAATGAGTGAAGAACAAAAATCATCTGAAAATGACATAAATGTTTCAAGAGAGCTCTAATTGAAATGAGAAAAAAAACTATTAAGAAGTAGTAAGTAGATGTAGGTTGTGATTTTTTTGCTTGTTTGTTCTTCTTGTTTGTTGTCTGAATTATTCTTGGTGTTCCATCTCCTGATTGTTTGTTTAATGTTTAAAAATGTCTTGATGAAAGGGAGATGAAAGGAAATTTTGAATCAAACTGGCGTGGATGCTAATTAATTGGGATAAGATTTGTGTGCTTGCTTTTTTTATAACAAACTGCCTAATCTTCAAAGAAGTTTTGATCTTGGTTTTGAAAGTAAAGTGAGAAATTGAGAAAAGAAAAGATATATGAATAAATCAAACATAATTTATTTGGTTTGTCTTTGTAGAATGATTCAACCTCATATGTCTTTGACATATTTTTATGTGTTAGAGATTACAACCAGTTGCCCAAATAACAAATGCATTCCAACAAATCGAAATTGAACAAAGCACATCCACATGATAAAGAGAAGAAGTGTAAAAACACATCAGCACATTCGCACTTAAGCAGGAAACACGATTTACACACAACACAATACGAAACAAACAAAACATACAACACATACTAGCAAGAAAACACTTGAGCGCTCACACAACAACACACTCGTTTGAAAAACGTGCGACAACATGAACATGAACACATGTGACATCATCTTTCTTATTCACATACCAATTTCGCTCTGCGACTCGAAATGGTGCTAATTAAATAAACCTTCAAACACATACACGCACCAGCATACGTGTGTGTTCACTCACAAACCGGAAATATTATCAACTTTTCAAACATACTTCTAATTTTCTTTACTCTGTTGTTCAATCAAATCCGATGTTTCAATCAGCAGAAAACGCATTCATATTATACGCATGCATAAGAACATGCAACAAATTATTATCGCACATACACTCGTCAAAACATGAATGCAAATCAAATAAACTCTGACCTTTGCTGCGAACGAAAGATAGCTGAAATGAAGAGTATTGTTGTTGCGCTTTGAGTCAGTCGATGTGTTGTCACGCTAAAAATGATTTTTGCATGACGGGCGACTGTACAATGTTGTTGCTAGACATGTTTCAGGTTTTTGGTTGGTTGTGAGTAGTATACTGTGGTTGCGTGTTGTGTCAATGTCTTTTTATATTGTGTGATGAATTATTTTCAATTTATTCATTTGTTTTGTTTTTTATTCCAGATATTTAATGAAAATAATCATTGATTTTATACTCCGATTAATTATTTATTTGACATTCTATAGCAATTTAGCATTTATTTTATACTTAAAATTGTTTTAAATGTATTCTCGTTAACTTAGTAATTTAATTTTGCAGTTTATGTCATGTTATTCTTTCTTTCCATGTTAATCCCTTTCTCTTGCTATATTTATTTTTGGGTTTAATTTTTGTAAAGAACAGAAAAAAAATATTTGCATACAACCTTACTTGTAATTGTAATTCAGTATTAAAAAAATTCTTCTTATTATATTATGTTGTCAATAGAGTTTCTGGTGTCCATAACACTAAATTTCTTTTAAAAACAATTTTGACAATTGATTTGTTCCATTTAAATATAGTGTTGATTTGAATGAAAAACAAAAGTGGCTTCATTTAAGCTTATAGAAAACTTCAGCTAACATTATGTGATGACTGAAATATTGAATCATACCGTGTCACTTAAATTAGGTGAGAGTCTATGGTTTGCTGATTAGTTAGTATAGTACTACCTGATTACTCAATATTTTATCTGAATACGTAGGAATCGTTCTGTAGATCGCAATTCATTTAATTCAGTATTAAAAAAATCCTTATTATTATATTATGTTGTCTATAGAGTTTCTAGTTTCATATAAATATATATATGATTGTTAGTGATTATGATTGACTGCTCCATTACTACTTTCCTTAATGTTATTTTTATATTAGCTGATTATACTTCAAAAAGAGCATCTTTGAGTTTTTCATTTCTAAAGTGCAGTAATTAATTACCCATGTTGGTGCAAATGTAATATAGATCTCTTAACAAATTGACTTGTTGAGTCTGCCATTTATTACGCTGCTCTGGCTGACAGGTTTTTGTTTCACTCTTTCTCCCTACTTTGAGTGATTTGTCAAAATTTAAAATTCAATTATGAATATATATCTTCTACCTAACTATACTTACGTTTCATTTTTTTTTATTTCGCCGTAATTTATTTCAATTTTCATCCAAATTCTTAAAAAATTAAGAAGCAATTGTGGGAATCTTTAATTTTCTAATCTACAACATAACACGGAACTTAACATTAATGAGTAATGAGACAGAACCTGTAATAAAATGAACAAGTTATCATAGCAGAATAGGTTAACAACGTTTAGTTCAGTTTGTTGGTACGATGCAAAAAAAAAATAATCATCCTAACCTTCCTAATCTGAGTAGACGTGAATGTTTGAAAATGTTGTCTCCTTTGTCGCTTCTTAATTATTTGTAGCTAATTTATCATTTATGACGTTCATACGCTGAAACAATTAGGAGCACCTACTGGCTGATGTCATTATAAAGATTGCCGTCATGAGACCAGCATTATGATGTCTGCCTTTGCGTATGTGTGCGTGTATGCTTCATTGTTGTTACGTGCCTGCCCGCTTACAACAACATGCTGTAGTTGGGTGTAGACTATGTTTTGTTTGTGAATAAATAAATATTGGAATAAATTAATACACTTGGAAGTGAATAAGTAAAGGTGAGATTAAAGAAGAGAAGTCTTGATATAATTCGATAAGATAATAAACATTTTCTAAAAGCGTTTATTATTTTCATTTTGAGTATTATACGTTTAGACGCACACACATACACACACAAACACACACACACATACAAACACTTTCACACACACGCATATATTTATATATATATTTTTTTACAATATTCTATAAATTCTACCGAATGTTAGGCGTTAATATGTTAACGGTAGAATTTATAGAATATTGTAAAAATTATGGTCTATTACACACACACACACACAAACACACACACACACACACAAACTCACACACACACACACATATATATATATATATATATTGTTAGATTAATTCGTTTAACTTCCATATATATGTATATATATATATATATATATATATATATATATATATATATATATATATATATGTTGGTAATAGGCCATAATAGACCATTGTTAGATTAGTTCGTTTAACTTCCATATATATATATATATATATATATATATATATATATATATATATATATATATATATATATATATATATATATATATATATATATATATATATATATATATTCAAATTCAAATAATCTTTTATTCAGTAAAGTATCATAAAATACATAATACTAGGAGACCCGAAGTTTGCACTTGTTGGGTCACCGAAACAGAAATTTGAATAAAATTCGAACAAAGATAAACAATAAATGATAAAAAGAAAGAAAAAAATAGAACCAAACAAAATAGTAATAATTAATCGACAAAAACCTTAGAAACCAAATGAAAACAATAACATAGTTACACGTGGAATTAACCGGTAATGAAAGAGGAAAAATGATTTGTTAAGATTAATTGATAAACTGAATTTTTAAATAAAAGAGCAATATTCAAATTTTTTACGTGAATTGGTAATAAGTCCCAAAGTCGACAAGAGACATGAAAGACGGAATTAATAAAAAAGTTAGTACGAGGTTTAGGAAAATAAAAATCTATATTATGTCTTAAAAATATTGATCGGTTATTGATTAAATGATTTAATTGGTGGCACAAGGAAGGACAAAAAGTTAGTTTAAATAATTTATAAAAAAACATTAACGAGAAAAGAATGTGTAACTGGTAAACTTTTAAAATACCAGATGATATAAACAAATGACTGATATGCTCAAATTTTGGTAACCCAAACAAAATACGAATAAAATAATTTTGACAAAGAATCAACATACGAACGTTAGATTTTGTTGTAAAATCCAAAATAGAAATACAATAGGTGAAAAATGGCAAAACAATAGAATTATATAGTGTTATTAAAATATGTCTTGGAAACCTTGATTTCAGTCGGTAAAGTATTCCTAAATTTTTTGAAGCCTTTTGTGAAATGAATTGAATGTGACTAGTCCAGGATAAATTGCTAGAGATAATGACACCTAAAAACTTTGTAGATTCAACCCTGTTAATGCAAACATTATTTAATAAAACCTGAATATCAATAACACTTGTTCGAATCTTAGGTCCAAATAAAATAAAGTTAGTTTTAGCTATGTTTATTCTTAAGTTATTAGCCAGAACCCAGTTATAAACGTTACGTAACTCTTCATTGAAAATTGATACCAATTGACTAACATTAGAATTAGAGAACAACAGAGTGGAATCATCGGCAAAAAGAATAAATTTTAAAATTCTAGAACAATTAACGAAATCATTTATATTGAAAAGTAAAGGACCAAGGATAGAGCCTTGAGGTACCCCAGAAGAGATAGGAGAAAGAAAGAAGAGATCTGGAATTATTAATAGAAACATATTGAATCGTGTCTCCTCTACTGGTGGCGGTGTTGGTATATTTATATCAAACTTTTTAAAATATGTTGTTCGTGATGACCTTGTCTATTTTTCACGTACTTTTGAATTGTTAATTGTTGAATTGTTAATTATCGAATGTCATAATTACTTAATTTATGTTATTTATCGTCCCCATAATACTGACCTAAATTTATTTCTAAATGATTTTACATGTTTACTTTTAAAAATTTCTAAATCAAGCAAATATGTCTATATCCTAGGAGACTTCAATATCAATGCAATTAGCAATAACGCCAGTAATGAATTTATTTATCTAATGAAACTTGTAAGGTTTTGACTGGAATCCGCTATATAATTGTTTTGATACTGATAAAGCATTTTCATTTTTTACCAGTGTTTTAAAAAATGCTATTTTGCAATACTGTTATACATCATTACCTTTGAAACAAAAAAGAAAGCAACCTTGGATTACCAATGGTTTAATTACTTCATCAAAGACTAAAAATATTTTATAGAAAAACTTTTTAAAATCAAAATCATCTGTTGACCGTTTGAAATATATTAAATATAAGAATTTATTTTCAAAGTTGTGTAAGGTTTCGGAACACATGCATTATTATTATTTGTTTAATAAAGTTAAAAGCAATGGTAAAAAAACTTGGAATTTATTGAAATTTTGTATGGGTGTTAAAAAAAAAGCGACATTTTTTGCTATTAAATTGAATGATGAATTGATTACTGATGATCTGAGTTTGTGTATTTGTTTTAATGATAAATTTTCTTTGAATGTTTCTTCTACGTGTAATTATAATAATAATATTATTAATAATGATAATAATGGTGATAATGATAGTAATAATAGCAGTAATAATGGTGGTATTAATAATGGTAATGGTAATAATAATTTA